GAAACCCAGTTTCATCAAAGTTATAGATATCTGCTTCCTGGATGCCGTACTTCGCGATTATGTTTTGAACAAGCATGAACCAACGATGGATAGCCTCTGGATCTTCACATAAAGCTCTCTGATAGTCATATTTCCGACTAAAACGAGTTGTGAGCTCTGGGTGCCGTTTAACAAAGGTGCTGGCCCAGTTTACACCAACACATCCCATGTTGCGTGTTGCAAGTAATCGGTTGGCCATATCTTCCACACCAGACAACCGAGGAGGAAACCCTTTGGAATCTAGATCAAGTATGTGTTCAACAATCGTTGATTCCTCTAAATCAGTGAGTCTTTGTGAATTGGCTGATATATTGCATCGTGATTGCATGCCACGCCGGCGGCGACTAAGCTTCTCATGATCCACGTGATAGATCTTTCCAGCTGCTCGAGCGCTCAGCTTTTTGTCATTTTGCATAGCTTGAAGGGCCAATATTACTTGGCTTTCATCATTTTTCTGACGCATATTTGGTTGTGGTGATATTTGTGATAGAAGTCAGAAGTCGCGTCGGAGCAATTTCGTGTGACATTCGCCCGTGTGTGACATTCGCATGTGGGTCACGTTATATAGATACCAGATATGATATTCACCACATTAGATATCTTACATACTACCCCGGAAAGCTTTACATGGTGTTTAATTAGGGTTGTCGGTCTAGAACATCACTGCTAGGATAACCCTGAAACATATATCCACCGCAACCCCACGGGGACCACCCGTCAACACCTCCCCGAACTCAATACCCATGCAATATACACTTTCCTCTCAGCAATAACAAATCCCTCCCCATAAATTCTAATACAACACCCAGGCCACATACAATAGAAACAGATGCCCCGCTCCGAAGAAGCCGAATGGTGGATCAACGCCGTCCACGAAGCCGTCCAACTCATCCCCACCGGCACGGTAACGACTTACGGCCATATCGCCTTATATCTCGGTGAACGTACGCCCTCTCCCTTCCCATTCCCTCCCCATTCCCCATTCTCTTTACTTCCATTTATTTCTATGCCTTGAAAGTGAAGTGCTTGGGGCTGAAACGAAGGCAGCAAAACGAGCACGCCAGGTGGGAATCGCACTGAAACATCTACCCGCGGAAGAATCCGGGGAATACTTTCATGCGGGAAATGTGCCGTGGCAGAGGGTTATCAATTCAAAGGGGATGATTTCGCACCGGTATTTTTTCCTTATGTATCTCTAAATAATCATTATCGTTCAATATGGGCTAATAATACAGTGAACCTGGAGGCGCAGAGCGACAAGCAGACGTTCTTCGCGGGGAGGGCGTGAAGGTAGAGACAGATGCGATGGGCGAGTTTTACGTGGATCTAGTCCGGTATGGCTGGTTTCCTAATCCAGAGACTGAAAGTGAAGAAGAGCCATAGAAAAATCTCGTACAACGCGTTTCATTCCATTCGTAAGACCCAAGCGTCCGTATTCCACTGACCATGAATGAACAAGTACTCCTCACCAGATCCCACTGGTAGTGACTCCGTAAACAGAAATCGAGCAAACAAGATAACTAACTCACAAGAAATAGATAAGGAAAATTTGGCACCGCGGTGTAAGATGATCTGCGAGACGGCTGCGTCTAACAGTGGAGGGTTCATAACCAATCACCAAGATAGTTCGGATAATCGGGGTCTATGAGATCAAAGGGGAGGCGTGGCAAAGGAAGCAACCCAAGTAAAACGCCAAAAGATAATAAAAGCATAAATCCACAAAAGCCGGCCGGAGATCAAGAGCGTTGAAAAGATTTCGATTCATCGCAAGCTCGCTCAGAATAATCGCGTAAAAATCAAAAAAAAAATCACCTCCGCTTCACTTCACTCGCCCATCCTTCAATCCCCTCACCCCTACTTCCTGGACGAACGTCAAGCGCGATTCCATCCATGCCCGGTGTCTTGTTCATCCATTCGTGTGATGACATCCCACCAGCATTGGCGCGCTGCTCTGGAGGCAGCTCCAACATAGGAAGCAAGAAATCACTAATCTGCATACTCTCATCACCCGAGAATTGATACTTTTCGCGCAACACATCCGGCAATGCCCAGTGACGAAGTCGGTGGATATTTCTCAACTCGCCCTTGCGATTGAAAATCTCTTGCGACCACTTTCCGGAGAGACACAGGGACTTGGGGAATGACCCCAGGAGTTCAATAATCTGAGCTATGTGGTCGTCATCTTTGCCGTACTTGGTACCGGACTGAGGGTCGAATAGGTAGTCTCCGGTGATAAGTTCGAAAACCTATTCTCGTTAATATAATGCGGCTTCAGACTAGGTCGAAGTCACTCACCATGCAAGCCATACTCCAAACATCTGTACTCGCACCCCACTTGGAACCCAAGATGACTTCTGGCGAGCGGTATTGCCGTGTTTGGATGTCGTTGGTAAAGTGATGCCCGACCCAGCACGCATTGCCCAGATCAGCAATCTTCACGGAGATAATCATCTCACTATCGGGTTCTTTATTCGAGCTCTTGGAGGGCGTCTTTTCTAGCGAGATTCCGGATACCTCTCTTTCCAACAAATCTCTGTTTAGACATCTGGTCAGTCGCACTACCCGGGGGACTAAAGCAAAAGTGTTTCACATACGTGGTCTTCTCTCTTTGCTTTTGTTTTTCATCTTCATTAATTGGCGCATCTTTTATAGACTCTGCTGATGGTTCTATAACGCGTTAACGGGACATGCAGAAAACGGGCGTAAGGAAAGTGACTTACCAGGCGGTTCCTCAATCATCGCGCTGAGGCTACTTTGGGAATGTTGCGAGCTGTGCTTAAAGTCGGAAAAGTTGGCGTTGAGCGGACTGGGCAGCGGTTGGCTCCCCGTAATAAGAGTGCGGCGTCGCCGACGGCCGTTGCGGTTGTCTTCCTTATCCTTTTGTTCCTTCTTGGCTTCTTCTTTGACGTAAGTTTGGACGATCTCCTCGACATCGCCAATCTCGATCAAGACGTTCTCAGGTTTCAAGTCGGTATGAATAATGCCACATTCCCGATGCATGTAATCCAGACCCAAAAGTACTTGTTTTGTGATTTGTTTGACCAGCGGCATGGGGATGCCGCGGTGGTTCCAGCGCTTAATCAAACCCAGCAGGTTTTCACCCAGTACCTCAAAGACCATGCAGACGTGGGTGCCATTGGGACCCTTGTGTTCAAACGAGTCGAGCAAACTCACGACATGTTTCCGACCGGGGTGAGAGGGATTGGCTTTGACGATGCGGCTGAGGAGTTTAATTTCATCGACGGCGGTTTCGGTGTAGTGGGCGGCTGAGCGAACGACTTTAAGGGCGACATGCTTGCCGGAAATATTATCGCGCGACAGCCAGACGGTTGAGAAATGACCCCAGCCCAACTTGCGTATGATCACGTAGCGACCATTGTTGTATGTTTCTCCGACGCTAACGGGGTGGTAACCACCCTTGACGTAGTCTTCGGAATCCTCTTCTTCGGCGGTAGTTTCGACTTCTTCTTCTTCGGATGATGATGAGGAGGAGGAGCGCGATGCGGAATCTGCCAAGGCCGCTCTGTTGTCGGGTCAGAAAATGCACATCAATGATGAATGCGGGAAAAAAAAACATACTCAGCCGAGGTGGGCTGGTCGACGGCCGGGGAACTGGGATCATTGGTGACGATGGGTTTCAAATCGGTTCCCTTTCTGCGCTTCTTTCCACCATTGCCATTGGCTGCAGAGGCCGCGACACTGGCCATTTGTTTTCCTTTGTTAAGGACAGCTTTTGTGATGTCAACACCGTCCATTGTTTTGGCGGCGGGAGGAGGAAGAGGGGAGGTCGGGTAGAGGGAGGGTCGAAGGAGAGGAATAGGGGAGTACGGGGGGGCGAAAAAGATATAGACAAGAGGATGAGGATAATCAGGAGTCGATATTGTGATGAGAATAAAAGAAATAATACAGAGAAGAGGGGAGGAAAGAGAGAGAAAAGTTGACGTTGATGGGGCGAGAAAGATGGAAGAAAGCGAAGAGTCCAGACGGTGTGGGCGGAGAAGCGAATCTGGAGGGGTTGGTTGGTCGGTGACCGCACAGCATAGAATAGATGTAGAAGAGAGTATAATAATATGCAAAGAATAGTTATAGGAAGAGGGTACGGAATAGTGAGATAATATCAGAATGAATATACAATACTCCTCGCCCGAAGACTGAGAACAGACTAGTAGTGGTTGATATGACGCAACGGGTTGTATGAAATCAATACTTAGTACAATAAGCCCATCGAATACAATAGGATAGAGAAACAGAGAATACAAAATGAATGGAATAGAAATGAATACAGAGTATGCGAGAAGAGAGTATATAAATGTTCAGATATCTGAATTAGGAAATCAGGAATGTCCGAAAGCAGCGTGGCGAGTATACGACAGGGTTCCATGCATTGTACAGAATATACACATAGAAAACGGCTTAGAATAGTCTAAAAAGACCGAGAATAATCCTCGTAGAGATCAATCCCTGTGTGCAGTTCTTATAATATATTTCTTATATATATGTCAGTTGGCACTCGCCCCGATATCATAAACCGCCGCCAAATCTCCCACTGCGTCTTTTTCTTCACTCAAACAGTTCTCTGCATAATCCTTCACTTGTATTGACCATTCAACCTGTTCCCTGTCCAGATGGGGTCAATTCCATGTCACTGACCTCTTTTCACGTGCTTTTCTTTTTCTCCTCTTCCCTGCACCCCTCTTTTCTTCAACTTCGACCTCACTTCACCTCCCCCTCTTCTCATATCCAAACAACAAAATGTCCTCTCCGTTCCATCGTCGACCTCTTCCGGACTATTTCTTCGCCTCTCCCCTCACTGCTCTCCTCTATCCCGTTCACCAGGCGCTCCTGCGTCTGCGAGGGCCTCCCCGCCTACCACCTCCTGGCGTCCGGCCAATTCGCGTCGTTTGCATCTCCGACACCCATTCCCAGCAATATCCCGACGTCCCTGACGGCGACCTGCTAATCCACGCGGGGGATCTGTGCAACGATGGCAGTATCAAGGAGATTCAAGAGGCGGTAGATTGGCTACAACAACTCCCTCATCCACAAAAGGTTGTCGTGTGTGGGAACCACGACAGCTACTTTGACGTTCGATCCCGCCGCGACGAGGATCGTGATCATCCATCCTCATCATCGTTTGCAGCAGTGTCAGCGTCGACAGCATCTCTACACTCTCTCGAAGACCTCGACAGTCATCGAATTGATTGGGGAGATATCCACTACCTACAGCATACCTCCGTGACCCTCTCATTCCCACCCCAGCCATCATCGCCCACTAGCGCCATCTCTTTATCATCCACTAGCACCAACTCTACGTCTAATAATTCCGTTCGCACCCTAACGCTCTACGGCGCTCCTCAAATTCCCGCAATCGTCCCATTCGGTTCTGAGCACGCGTTCACCTACTCCCCCCACCACGATGCCTGGTCCGGCACCGTACCACCCGAGACCGACATCCTCATCACCCACACCCCGCCGCAAGGCCACCTCGATCTCTCACCCGTCTACTCCGCCGGCTGTCCATACCTTCTCTCTGAAGCCTGGCGCGTTCGTCCCTCCCTGCACATCTTCGGCCACCTGCACGAGGCCTATGGCAACGAACCCGTCTACTGGGACGAGGCACAACAGGCATGGGAGCGGCTCTGTGCCACAAGACGGGTGCGTGCCCGCGACGGCCGGCTTGTCTCCGTTTTCTGCGGACTGCTCCGTGATCTCCTCGACCCAACAGGGTGGGTCGATGCTGCTCGTGTCGTTGCGTATGGCGTCCTGGGCATCGTCTGGGCCAAGGTGTGGGGTGGCGAGAACCGAGGGTGTGGGTGGTTTGTGAACGCGGCTTGTATGTATCGCAACTCGGGGAGACTGGGGAACCGGCCGTTTGTGGTGGACTTATAGGCATCCCTGTCCCTGCGGATGCCTCGTTTCTGCCCGGATTTCCATTGCATGCCCATGACTGTAGGATGTAGATGCCCGTACATTGACTGAATGAAGTTCCGAATGCGCCTGTATTGTAATCACTAGTTTGTATATAATGGGCTATGTGTATCAAAATTGCATCCTCCTACGGAAGTCGTCTTTATTGGTTTTTAGCCAGATATCTGTGAATACAGTCAATAAAAATCTTCCGCATCCTGATATCTATACTCCATTCACTGCCATTGTTGATACGAAAGCGAGCTTCCCTATAGCTTTTATTTACAACTTCTCTCTACTCAAACCAACCTTTATGCATCATCTGCTAAAAGCAACCCAGCTTGACATCAGGACTCACTGTTCTCGCCTTGACAAGACTGGCTCTTCATGAAGAACTTGAATCTCTCCCCAGAAAAACTGGAACGACACCCAAATGAGCACAATGTGGCACATTGCCGTCTACAGATACCCTGCCCAGTGCCCTCGCCTTAATAACGAGACTGGTATTGTGGCGTACCTAATGGTCCTTCCACGTCATGACGTTAGTTACAAATATGGTATACCATCATACCTCTCTTTTACGCGTCACTATGAGAACCACGAATTGAAGTTTGCTATGATATATATATTACCTCGGGGATGACCACCACCTGGGATTCGGTGAGCTACCTACCGAGTAGCCGTGTTAATGGTAGCGTCTCAAATTAAGACGCATGACGAATATTCACCCTCTAGCATTCATCTGCGTCGTTGCATGTCACAGGCACATATCTAGATCAGGGGTAGTCACCGACTATCTAGCGCAGTAAAAAGAACCCCCGGTATGTCTTTTCATTCACAAAGAGTAACGCGGAGAACAACTTCATATTTCTGGGGACATATTTCGAGAGCTCTGGACGAAAAGCGATCAAGATAAGTAAACGCGTGCAGTGTCTGGCTGTAATGCCTGGACAGTGTTCGTCGGATGGATGAGACATACCCGCTTGAATTATACATCGGAGATCACGGGTGACCAACGGTTGTCTATACGTTGCCGGGTTGGTCTCTGCCGTGTTGAAATACAGTGTATACAGACACAACCAAGCCAACGCGATGCTTGGGGTCGACCCATGATCAAACCCTATCTACTAAGGAATCATTCGGCTGACAATCCCCAACCTTGTTGGCACATTTGCCGTTGATAGGTGAAGGGAGGTAATGCTGATAGTCGAAAGTAATGCTTCACTGTTCAAGGATAACGGAAACCCGGAAATTGCGATTCTTACTACCTCAACAGACGATTATTCTTGCTTGGTTTTGCTGCATCCTACACGTCGCGTTTCCATACGACGAAGCTCGCTTCGACAGATGTCCCGGTACTAAAACAGGGAATTACTTATGCACAGATCAACAGTTTAGCATTCCGCCAGGAGCATCAGGTTGGGGCTACAAAGTAAGTTTTCACACGGAGATGCCAGGCTGGTTTCTGCCGTGATGCTTTATACTAAATGTGGACATGGTAGATTTCCGCAGAATATATGTCTGTCTGTGGTTGTATTCCGGCAATCCTTATCCGTTCTCAAACAAAGGTTGTGTTGTGTTGTGCTTCAGCTATGGTAGGATACGACTTGGTGGCTTCAAAATAGCTATGTTGTGTCGATTTGTGTACCATCCCCGGATGGTTTTGAATGAATTTCTGATGTTACAAAGTATCGTCGACGGATTCAGTGGTATCCATTTTTCTACCAGTTATTTCTGACAGATGCCTAAAGCATGATGCGCCATCTGGGTGGACATACGGCAACATCCAAGTTATCTGCATGTCGACAATGAAGATGCTAACTCCTTAAGAAAGTGGTTCTTTTTGCATGAATAGCACAGCTTTACCAACCAGCTTACACTGCTGGAATAATAGAGTCGTCGGGTACCTGTACAAAGAACAGAGGAATCGACATTCGAATTCAGTGAGACAGCCGCCGAAAGACTAGGAAGACAACATAAAGGCAATATATCTCCATTAATAGATACGCTGTTGAGCTCCAGGCACATCCATCATTCCCACGCCCCAGAAACAGAGCTTTCTGGTCTTGTAATTGACTGATCTTCCGATTGTCGGTCAGGATCAGTTCAATTTTAATGCCATTCATGCTAAAACAAAGAGTCTCACTGATGGTATTTCCCTGGTTGTGAGACGAACCTTCTGCGAAAGCTTTGCACTCAAAATGGACTACATTCCAGCTGTTTTATGAGTACTTCGAAGTCGAACTACGCGGTACTGCTTTTTGCATGTCCAACTGTGCTTCTTCGAGTGAAGAGATGTAGAAAGCCCTCTTTGCCATGCTCGAACTAATTTATTATTTTCACACCCCCAAACAGAAGACATGGATTTCATCTCTGGTCTATGATGGTAATATCTATATGAAAAACATAGTACCTTGATAAGGTACGCTAAGTTTTGCAGAGAGTTCAGCACCGTACGGTAACATGTAGTGGCACGTTTCAATGCCGCTCGATATCATGAGAAACAGTCGAGGACGCACCACTAAGATCGAAATTCTTTGGCTCCAAACTGCTTGAAGAAATACTTGGGCTGAATGGGCTTAGACCTTTCACGATACATGAAACAGTGTTTGGTGTATGGAATCTTAAGGTAAGACCCTGCACATACACGTGACGGAGCTGAAGTCTGTCCCATACTTCATCTGACGCCTGCCAAAGCTTACTGCAACCATATTTCAACACTGGCCATCATGGTAGATGCTAGCCAAATTGGCTCTTAGTTAGGGCTCCGACCAGAAGTGAGACCTTCCGGAGAACTAGTCGTTTTACGAGATGCAAGCCAGGTTTCGATATGCTGGACTGACGTTTGTAATTGAGTCGAGTGTGTCCGAGTCTGCCCGGGTTTGCACGGACACGGACTGGTGGTTACAGAGAAGCTATGAACTTCACTACGAACTTATTTTCTGGTCCTCAATATGAGGAGTATTTTCAGCTTTGCTGACGTTCGATCTAAGAGCCGTCGTTATGATAGGCGCTCCATGATTTATTAAATACGAAGGTAACCTGCAGAGTGTGAGCATTCCGAAATCAGCATTTCATCCTCCGACCAGCAGGAGGTAATCTGGACATAGCCAGCTCATAGGCTATTTTGTCTATTGTCTTTGATGGTGCTGACAGAAACCCCACCCGGATTAACGCACACTATGGCTTCAAGAAATTGAAGGCTCTGCTATATGTCCATTATAATAGGTGACGGAGAAATGATATAGCACCGCCATAGATATTTGAAATGATATCATTGCGCACCTACCGCTACGGCCGCTGGTTTCTAAACCCCAATTAACACAAATGTCGGAGCAAAAATTTGTGTCGATTAATGGCAAGTAGTAACCTTCTGTTTTATGAACACTGTGTATCTCTCTAACATGACCTTAACTGAACATAGGCTTACCCCGGGGGGTAGTCACACGCAACTCAATGTACACGCTTAGTCCAAGGCCGTCTGTTACCCAGAACTTAGCCGGGCCTTTAGAGACGTATAATAGGAATAACAGCCTCACGTCAATACAAACGAGATCGACCTTTGATTACCGAACGTGCCACTATGGGAATCTGTGGTTCTGGACTAAGATGGAATGGGAGAATGAGAACATAAAACGCAGTCTACGTCCATAAATTTTGGCAAAACCGAATTCTGTAGCGAGCAACAAAAAAATCGAGTGGTATTAATGGAGCTAGTGAACCATGGGATTTTCCATTTGCCAACAAGCTTTACAGAAATCTTCTCGTTTCCCTCTCATGAGAATGAAGACTTATTGCAGCAGGCTATCTGTGGTCTCACACCAGTACGGTTCCATCAAACACATCCTACACGAAGTTCACCTTTCGGTACAAAGAAGTTGGAGGAACGGAGCGGTCTTTTTGACGCAACGTCCTTCACAATGCTGATCGACGAGTAAAAGGAAATGCCACTTCCCCATTCCTTGGAGCTCTTTTCCGTCTCCTCAGATCCGGGGTGGGAACGCTGATGTACTTGGTCAAACGGATCATTAACAACCGTACGTTTCTGGCCTCCGCTGCTTTGCTCGGGAATATGTTCTTAGTGCAACACATCCATGGCCGTCCACAGCGTATCGTCTGGCGCGATTCAGGCGCCGCCCTGGAGATCCACATGCAACTAGATATGTCATATCAAACACTACACTACTGAATATGTGTTCCGACGGCAACTTACTTTTCTGGCATGAAACCTAGATGGAAACAGCCACACGAGCCCTGGTCCAAAATCTGTCATTAAGAAAACTATATAGATTGGGTTACCAGGTGTTCGAGGAAATACCTAGACCACAACAGCCATAGACCATCTGATTACTGAAGTGTCTTCAAGGCATCTCACTGTCTATTATGTTGGATGAGTATTAGCGTTTGGTGTTTGCCAGAGCATCGTGATAAATCGATGGACATCTCGTCAATTACATGTATTTAGTCGTATCACCCACTCACAAATGTAAGACACAGTACAGAAGATACCGGCTCAACAAATCTCCGTTATCAAACCAGCCCGATAACAACAATCTCAAGCCAAGCTCAAGCTCCTTCAAAAAAACCACCCAACCCAACTACCAAAACCACACAAAACAAAATGCCCTCCTCCCTCGCCGACTACCTCGCTAAAAACTACCTCACGGCTGACCCTGTACCCGAACGCCCCAAGAAAAAGCGAAAGAAGACCAAACAATCCACCGAAGAAAGCACCGGCCTCATCATCGCCGACGACGACCCCCCGGATCTACGAAACACTAAAACGGGGGTCGATGACGATGAAGACAGGCCTGCGATGGTAACGGGGACGCGGAGCGCGGAGTTTCGACGCGCAAAGAACTCTGCTTGGAAGACTATCGGTGGACCAACAGCTGGTAAAGATGAAGCAGATGCGATTCTGGCGTCTGCGGCGGCAGAACGGGATGCGGCAAGGAAGGAGGCCGGGGGTGATGAGGATGAGCCTATGATTGAGGGGCAGATGGCAGAGCAGGATGAGGGGATGAAGATGGAGTCTGGGGCAAGGGCGGGATTACAGACTGCCGAGCAGACGGCTGCGATGGTCGCGGAGCAGGAACGACGAAAGAAACTCGAGGCTGCGAAATACAAGGAGAGGCCGCAGGAAGCTGAAGAAACTATCTACCGTGATGCGTCGGGACGAATTATCAACGTTGCTATGAAGCGTGCGGAAGCACGACGTGCGGAACAGGAGAAACGCGAGAAGGAGGAACAAGCTAAGGAGGATCTTATGGGTGATGTTCAGCGCCAGGAGCGCCAGGAGCGCAAACAGCAACTACAAGAAGTGCGGGCGATGCCGGTGGCGCGGACGGTGGAGGATGAGTCGCTGAATGAGGAGCTCAAGGGAAGACAGCGATGGGATGATCCGGCGGCGGCGTTCTTGACGAATACTGGAGGTGGTGGGGCGAGTACTACGGGGAAGCCTTTGTATAAGGGGAGCTTCCAGCCGAATCGGTATGGGATTCGGCCGGGACATCGGTGGGATGGGGTTGATCGGGGGAATGGGTTTGAAAAGGAGTGGTTTGCGTCGAGGAATAAAAAGGGGAGGATTGAGTCTTTGGAGTACCAGTGGCAGATGGATGAATAGTTACGGTGTGTTGGGTACTCCGCACTCCGGGGTGATCTACTTGTACAGGTGCTGGCACCTAATAATTGCATGGATAATGTATTACTACCCTGGTAGATACCGGTATGTCATGATGAAAAGCAGATTATAGCCTTGCTTGATGTCAACATAGTTCCCTGGATATGACATCAGAAAGTATTCGTATATTCGTATACTCTGCACTCCAGGCCATTCAGGCGGAGTACCTCGGCTATCACTGCGGCTCGTACAGCACGGGGGACCAAGTCCAGCGATAACAACACAGATTGGCCACCGTGAAGGACACCTTGCAGATGACAGTGATAGTCAGTCATCCGGACAAGGAACCTGATAAGCGCTAAACTGAGTCACGCAATACAATGACTGCAACGTGCCTTCTTGTATGGATAAGCCTCGGGGACTCAAAGGAGGGATTCAGAGTACCATGGAAGCCATGAGTCAATGGACTGGGCTCGCCGTGGCGCAACTGATAGGGAATAGGTAACTCAATAGTCGCTCGCATAAGATGACCTCGCGTCCTCGTGCTGATTGGGGCGCATGCGATTAGGTGAATGCGTAGGGGGTTCTAGTACTACTTCTGTTCCGGAGTATATTATCTGGCCAGTGTTATTCCTCGTTCCTTCCTCTCCACTGAACCACTGGTATCTTCTGTTGTCCTACGCAAACAAAGTCGTTCTTTCCCCTGTCCATCTCTTCTTTGCTTTCCCATAAACGCAGTCTCCGACTCTCCCTCTATACAAGTACACCATATACCATATACCTTATACCATACACCGTATCCTGTATTCATCCGACTATGGCATCCCTCTCCATCACTGGTGACTTCCGTCGTCCCGGCGTCGAAGTCAAGCGCTACAATGATAAGAAGGCCAAATGGGCTTATGGAGGCCGCAGTGCGAGACACCTGCCGCGCCCGACATCCTTCCCGACCATTGAGCGCTATATCGATCTCACAGCACGCCCGGCATTGCCCGGGTCTCATTACGCGGGGTACGTGTCCTTATCAGCACACAGATAGACGGACAGGCTGACCATACTAGTATGACACGGGCGTTGAAGCGTGACAACCAACACAACCTGAATAAGCTGGCCAACGGCGCCAAAGTCGCTATGCGCTGGGAAACCCGCGAGGTCCTCGACGATGACGGCCAGTCCTCCGACTCATCCGCCGACGAGTCCATCACCACGAACGCTATCCCCGGCCACGTCGACACCACCGCTCTAGATGACGACGGCTCCCCCATCCCGTACGAAGTATCCGGCCAGACGATTCTCTGCGACGCCGTGGACAAAGCTCTTGAGAGGTACGAGACGAAGGAAACGGAGAAGTTGGTCAGGGAGTACGAAGTCGTGTCGCATGATGGCGAGATAGGCATGGGATATCCGGCGGAGGATGAAGGCTTCGAGTTGGTTGACTATGTCCACGTCCACGCATGATCCTGTCATCGGTATTTTGCCTGTTTCGTTTGTACTTTGGCACTGCATGGAGTTGGTTGGTCTGCTTGTGAATATTGGTTATAGTTTTGGTGATTTTTGGTCGGCGCTGATGATGATCTCGATGATGTTTCTGCGCTGCTTCATTCCTAGACTGCATCCTGCTATTATTATTATTATATTATTAGTTTTGGTTATATCATAATGTATCTCGATATGATGTCGTCTGTTATAATTGATATGAGTCAACTTCTGGTCGCAAATGGTAGTCTGTAGAATCCTTCCGTGAGTAGAGCGACTTGACCATTTGGGAAATCTTGAAGCTTTCCATGAATATGGTGGACTGCAGCAACAGACCGCGCAACTTCTGGCACGGCCCATATTGTGCTCGAATCCAATTGACAAAAACTTGGAAAATAACTCGGCATAAAATGGTGTAAATTTCAAAGCAAAAACAGAGTCGTTGCTATGCTCTTTGTCCATACTGGATAGTTGAGTGGTGATTGTTTACTCCGTCCCAAACAAAAACAGAAAAAAAGTCGCCGCTTCTTCCTTCACACTCCTACCACCACCACCTCCGATCCCTCACCCTCGCCAGCCATCGTACAAGATGGACAAACGATCCGGAGAAAGTCCTATGGACTTCGAATGGCAAACCAGGGCTCCTGGCGATGTCACTTCCCCATTCTATCAGCTCAGCATGCAACATGAGAACCAGAAGAAGCGTGCGTGACCCATGTTCACAACTCGTCCAAGCCAATCTAATGAGGATAAATACTGACAAAAACAGGCCCGCATAGCACCTTTGACTCCCCCGAGAAGAAATCCATGCCTGCCCTCCGCGAACCTAACTCCCAGCCCTTCCTCTTCTCTCAGCCTCCCGGAACTCCCAAATCGGCCTTCAACCAACCCGCCTTCATGACACCCCGCAAATTCGACCTCGACTTCTCTTCCGGCGCGGAGAACATGTCCTCCCCTGAAAATGCAGATAACGAAGATACTCCCGAGCCGACTCCCGCGAAGAATGGTGCACACCGAAATTCCTTGTTTAGTATGTATGGACGGTTTGCGCCGGCGCCTGCGCCTAGTCCTGGTCGCGGTGAGATTCCGCGTGTTGGCCACTATTCGAATGCGCTGGCAAGACGGGTGCAGAAGAGACGAAGGAGGGATAAGGCGCTGGATATGCGGTTACGACGGGATAGTGATGATGAGGATGATGATCGGCCGACGAGTAGTGAGAGTAATACGCAGAAGCAGTTACAGGGGCAGGGACAATCGAATCAGCAAGAGATTTCTGTGTCGCGAATGACGTCGTTTTCCGACTTTTTTGCCCTTCTCGAGGCGCATCCTTACGTTCCAAGCATTCTGTCGTGGTGGGCACAATTGGTGGTGAATCTGTCGTTATTTTCGTTGGCTGTTTACGTGGTTTTTGGATTTGTGTCGGCCATTCGGGCTGAATTCGAGCAGGCAGCTGAGGAGGTGTCGGATGGGATATTAGCGGAGATGGCTACATGTGCGAAGAGTTACGTGGACAACAGATGCGCGGGAAATGATCGACTACCGGCACTGGAAACGGTGTGCGAGAACTGGGAGCGTTGTATGAACCGCGATCCGGCGAAGGTTGGACGAGCAAAAGTGTCGGCACATACGATGGCGGTTATCATTAACAGCTTCATCGATCCTATCAGCTGGAAGGCAATTGTATGTCCTCCCTTCTCTATCCTGTAATCCTGTCTGATGCTAATAAATACAGCTCTTTTTCCTCGCTACGATATCAACTGTCACCGTCGTGAGCAATTGGTCTTTCCGCTCCTTCAGAAACCGTCTCAACCAGCACGAATACCCACATCCTCACCCTTCCTCGTTCTCCCGCCAGAACTCGGCCCAATATGCTCCCATTGCCTCGTCACAAGGACAGTACCAGAACGGCCACCATTACAGCTATCTTGATCATCAGGAGCAGAAGCTCGCACCTGCCCCGAACTTGGACGAAAAGCAGAATGGTTCAATGCTACTGGAACACCCCAGGATGAACTATGTGACGGGGCGGAATCGCGATCGGGAGATTCAACTGCGGTCTCCCAGTCCTGTCAAACGGCGCAATTTGCTTTAATGCGTTGCAGTACGACACAATGTAAAGCATGGTCGGGGTATATGGCGTTTTCATTAACTTTATAGTCACTTTATTTTATATTATACCTTCTGTTAAATGTATTTTTCAAGCTTTATAGCCCGCATGTGATGGCTACGGAAAAGGCGTGGGTGTTTCTATGTACACAGCAGAATATACCTGTAGAAATTAAAGTCTTTTTACTAGTAAGTCCTGGTATACTTGCAGTCAACCGGAGGCATGTTTAGCCTTTCCTACGATCATCTTTACCTGCTCTTTTGTGTCTCATTTGGTATTCGCTGATATACAGTGAGTGATACTCAACTCACATTGCCTCTACAGTGGTAATACAGCAAGTCCCAGCCTCCTTTTCACTATCCTCCACACAATTGCGCACCATCCTTGCTAGACCTAGCCCATCGACCAAAAACCTACATGACGCTGGTTTGACATGAACTGTGTGCAATGTACACATTCGATCAACCAGAATGAAAAGAGACGATGATATTACGGAAACTGCCCACTGCTTGGTTATCAAGCCATCGGATTATTTCCCAACGTTAATGGGGTGTTTCCCGGCTCGCGGCCTTCCTAGGGGTCGTAAATATAGAGACCGTCTATAATCAGCACGCTGTATCGAGGCAGAGAAACAGCTGCTGCAAATATGCCACCAGAAGATTGCAAGATGCCAGCTCGTCGCGATATTCCGTTCCTACTGAAGACATTATCTTGGCCATATTTGGAGGTCATACAAGCTTGGTGGTCATCACGAGGGCAGATAATCTTTCGACCTCTCGGGGAGAGCATCGCTAGTACGAAGATATGGATTCTGTTGTGCTAGGCTGTACGATTTGAGTCGGGCATTTCCAAAAGCCTCCTAACGACAAAGGACTTTTGTCCAAGAATGTAAGAGTCAACGGTGACCTTGACTTAGGCTCATTAGATCCTCCTAGGGTTACGGGGAGACATCAAATACGTGAATGTCGATTCTATCTTCCCATGTCCCACGATATGCCCAAAAAATATACAAAAGGGCCTGGTGAGAAAGAACGCTGGTATAAGAAGAAATAGCCAGTGACGAGTGGGTGAGCGGGTATATACCTCTCTATAGCTGTCTGCCCCTGTGGCAAGTCTGTTTGCTAGTTCAATACGTCTTCTATTGGCCAGAACAACACAAGTACAGAATCGTCATATTGTGAGGCATGCAACTATGCGATTCAAAATCCAGGGCTTCTATAGCACATAAATGACAATCTGACCGTCACTGCTACAACAAATGATACTTGTGCATGTTAATGAGGCAATATGCCTATTTGGCGATCTATATATTGATGTTCTTGATTTACTACAGTAAGCCTCTTCCACTCAAGCATGACTAGCGGTTCGACCCACGTTAGCGATATTGGAAGTTCGTTGCGATTTTTGGGCTTTCATCTACATACGATGGGGCAATATTTTTGACCAAGAGAGTTACTCGGGTGTAGAGCAGTTGGATGACACCAATAGTTTCTGAACAGTGGCCTACACGACAAGGTGCACGCGCGCATGCCGCTGGGCTTTGGTAGCTGTTCCAAATGATGCAAGCTTCATAAAGTCCTTTGTAGATTATGTATAATCTATGGCATGTTGAAAAAGATACCGGACTGTATATTGATGGAGTTGGTCTCATGGCTGTTCCTGATGGACCTTTCCTACATATTGGCGAACGTATCTTTGTTTGATACTATATTGACAACACCAACCTAATTCATGCCGAAGCAGATGCAGTGCATTCTGAGGCTGCGCAGTTCTAGAAAACAGCTATCTTGCAATGAAGTCTAGAATGGATCCTAGGTGTGCACGAATTTTGCGGAGTAGGGCCAGTGGTTGCCGGGCTTAATTGGTACTTAACCAAGGTAGGCTTATAGTCTACCACATAATATACACGTCTAAACAGCTACGGAAAAACGGTCCAGTGGTCTGCGCTTCCTATAGTGGTGATGGCCGTATTAATGCTGTACGGTGGACATTATGGTTGATCCCCGCAGGCCGCAGGGTTCTGGTTGGAACCCCTGTCTTGCCGTAATTTTTTTCTCTATATCTATACACAGAATGTTCAACAACTGTAGGAGTTGAAGGAAATGAGAGAGCTGACCAGGTGGCAAAGCGGGCAGCTAATAAGCCTCCAGGAAAAGGCTCAAGAGAGATCTCTCTGGCCTTTGCTTGTAGAGCCCGAACAGAAGCCATTACAACACAAAAGCAGAGATGGCTCACTAAGGAGCTTGGACAGCGGTCCCAACAAGGTCAACGATATACAGGCCACAGAAGAACTGGCGGCTCGACCCGGCAGCTGCAATGGCTCCCAAGCACCTAGAAAGCCGCTATTTTCAACTGAAGTCAGGACATGCAGCTATAGAGCATACCTACATCGGATCCGGGTCCAGAAGGATGCAACCTGTGAAGGATGTGGTATATCAAGGGAGACAACACACCATCTTCTCTTTGAATGTCGGGAATGGCGACACCAACGAAACAGGCTCTACAAAGACCTAGAGACAGACGGAGTCATGAGACCCACTACCGCAGAAGAATATCCACAAGGACGACTTCTAGGAGAGGCCAAAGCTACAAAAGCATTGCTACAATTCCTAGCCAGCATCAATATAGCTCTACCCAGGGCGCACCTACAACGGATGGCGGAAAGGGCCCGTAGAGATGACGAATGGGGACTGGAAGCATTGGAGAAGGCAGTTAGAATAGAAGAGGGTTAGCAGGGAGGGTAGCCTAAGCTGAGAGTCAGCCTAGGCACATCCATCTTGCTCCGAAACACAATGAGAGCACTGTGCTCGAAAGCCCTGCGCATACAGGCGGCTTGGGGCGAGGGAAAGGACCAGAAAGATTATAGAGGGGGGAGGGGGGGGTTGCTGCCCCAAGAACCTATGGGGACAAGAGACTGTAGAATAGCTGCTGGCTTCGAGTCCACGAATTATGGTCTGTCAGAGCTCTAGGGCTCAGTATGGACAATAAACCTGATTAAATAATAATAATGATGTTCAACGGCTCAATTTTCTTTGGCAAAGATGGCTTCGTTTCAACCAGCTGCCGTTTGCTTTACTATAGAGCTAGTGGTGTTTCTGGCCCTAAGTCCCTCAAATAAGACGCTCCAGCATCTATGTAATCACATAATGATCCAATTCGATTGGCCCAAATCTATGAGCTGCAGTAATCGCTCCTTCTTTTGCAGGAGCACGCAGAATGATCAAATACCAAGAATACAAAGATACATCCTGGTCTTCAAAACGGCATATATTGGCTTCCTGGTGCTGCTAACCGGGTGCTTGCCGGTGAAGAATATGTTTTCTCGTGATCTAGACCGTATGCAGTCGAGGTAACAGTCTTCAAAAGCGCCGGAAATCAACGTATCTGATAGTTCAACCATGGCCATTCAACAATTTCTTTGTCGTTCTTCTATCTTCTGGTCGCCACTGAAACATGCCTTGGCATAAATATTTGGAATATTTCCTTATTCTTTCCCTCAAGATACCCTTCTGATGTTTTCAGATTAGCATATTGCTGTGTCGATATCTCCGTGTCATGCCTCCATTTCCCTGCAAACTGTCAGGTTCAACATTCCAGGTAAATTCAGAAGTAAAACGCATCGTCTTCAGTGAAAAGCTCAGGATTCCGGCCCCTGCGCCTAACCATATCCAACGGAGGCGGTCCTAGCATACCAATAACTTCTGCTAGGTGCGCACGGGTGGTATACACCTTTTTATATGGATCGTTACCGTGGAACATATGATGGCCGTTCGTACATAAGAGTACTCGAGGGTGTCACAATTTCTTTCTGGTTATTATATACTTGTGGGTCTGGAATCCATCGATATTGTGTTCATCGCGCGTATATACTTTTAGCGTCACATACGCATGACCCCTAACCGCATTGACTTGTCTATTCTCCCAAGAATGGGAAGAGGGCGATTACTCCATATCCCGCGCAAGCCATACTGTAGAAGTACGCCCGAATCCCAACTTCCCAATAACCCGGTATCTAGAGTGAGAAATGTCGCCGATGTTTACAGGGTAATATTGTCCTTTCTGGAATTCGGAGATGTGTTCCTCGTCGAGGAACAGCGATGCGGGGACTGTTTTCCAGCCAGTGGTCGGGGAACGGAGGGATGCGAGGGGAGGTTCTCGAAAGATATTTCTGGTCCATCGTAGGGGAGAGGTCATGGTATGGATGAACTACAGGTAGATGATAGGATTGTGCAGCGATTAGCAGTAAGCACGATATTTGTTTGCGAACTGGGAAGCCTTAAAACTACAAAATGCCGCCAAATGTTTATCGGAGTATATAAGAAAGTCCATGAAATCCTTCCCTTTTATCTTGAAGAGCGTTCCATGTCTATCGTGTAGTTTTGGTTTAATTATGCTTCTCACAGTGCGTGCGGCAACCTCCTAGTATATATATTCCCCGTACTGGTTCCTCCTAACACACCACACCATGGAGGCCGATGTATACAAGTATCTACCCCTGTATATACTAAAAGAGACAATACACCCAAGGAATCATAATGATAAAACCCTACCCCTGGTAACGGTTACCTCTTCCACTTAATTGGGAACGCTTATTGTACTTCTTGGCGTCTTCGGCAATGATTCGATATGACGTTGCCTCGACTACAACATCGCCTGTAACGCTGCAAGTATTCCATGGCAGATCACCATGTCCGTTTTATTCATTCTGACGTCTGAAAGTGGTGGCAGTGGGGCGGGGGATATAATAAAGTCCGTCGCATCGATATTCACCTCGCTCATATTCCTTTGACCAGAGCAAAAACTGTATTACTTGCTGATATTCATCCGTAGAGCTGCAGATAGTCCACAATGGCACCCGAGCAAGAGCCTAGACGTCTGATCATCGTCTCCAACCGTCTTCCACTGTCAGTAAAACGGGATGACGGCGGTTTTAAGTCCTCCCTCTCAAGTGGCGGTCTTGTTACGTCGCTGTCCGGTCTGACCAAGTCGACACAATTCAGCTGGTTTGGATGGCCTGGTATCGAGGTGAATGACCCTAACGACCGTGAGAAGGTGTCGAAGAGCTTGGCGGAGCATAATGCTGTGGGGATCTTCCTGGATAATGCGCTGGCGAACGCGCACTATAATAATTTTTCTAGTATGCCACTCTCCTGCATGATTTAGCACGTTTGCTGACGGCATAGACTCCATTTTATGGCCAATTCTCCATTACCAATCTGGTATGACCTTTGACGACGGGCCATGGCAAGCGTACCAAAAAGTCAACGAGCTCTTCGCCGATGCCGTCGCTAAAGAAGCGAGAAAGGGAGATATAATCTGGGTGCACGACTACCACCTGATGCTCCTCCCCAAGCTCCTACGCGAGCGGTTAGTCAACAAGGGCAAGAGTTGCGCGATTGGGTTCTCGCTACATACACCATTTCCTGCAAGCGACTTTTGGAGAGCACTTCCGGTGCGGAACGCCATGATCGAAGGTCTCTTGTCGAGCGATTTGATCGGGTTCCATACAGATGAATATAAGCAGAACTTCATTGGGACCTGCGTGAATTTGTTGTGAGTGTTCTTTGGATCATGACTCGATCAGACTGACCTAACTTGACAGGGGCGCCCAAACCGGGGTACCGAATAAGATTCAGTACAAGAATCGTTTGGTCGAGGCGGGAACATTCGTTGTCGGGATTGATCCGCAGAAGTTCGATGATACTTTGAACAAGCCTGAGGTACAGACACGGATTAAGGAACTCGAAGAACGATACAAGGACGTCCATGTCATCATTGGTGTTGATCGATTGGACTATATCAAGGGATTGACCCACAAGCTGAAAGGATATGATCGGTTCCTTGATGACCATCCGGAAATGAAGAATAAGGTTCTGTTGATTCAAGTGGCGGTCCCAAGCCGTGAAGATGTCAAGGAGTACCAGGATTTGGAGACGGAGCTTAGCACAATTGCTGGGAAGATTAACGGGAAGCACGGTAGGGCATCCTAGATTTCTAACGACGACCAAATCTGACACCAAACAGCAACACCAGATGCTTCCCCCCTCTTATACATGCACCGCTCAATTCCATTTGAAGAATTAACAGCCATGTACTCCATCGCCGATGTATGCCTACTTACATCCTCCCGAGATGGTATGAACCTTGTATCCTTCGAGTACGTCGCGTGCCAGGCAAAGCGCCACGGAGTACTTGTGCTTTCTGAGTTTGCTGGAGCATCCGTCTTCATGAAGGGTGGAAGTGTCAATTTCCATCCGGCAAATACATCCGAACTCGCGCAGTCAATCCACAAGGCCGTGACGATGAATGGGAAGGAGCGTAAGGAAAGATATGAGAAATTGAGTGAATTTATCAATACTAACACGAGGTGAGCTTGAAGCACCTTTATATTGATTTACGGGGTTATACTGACTGTTTTTAGCGCTGAATGGGGAAAGAAGTTCATTGATAGCTTGTCGAGGAGGCTGTGATTATCTATATTTTTTTGTATATAAATCAGACTGGCCCGCCAAGTCAATAGGCGTGTGACAGATTGTCATTATAGCACTTTAGCCCATCCAATTCACTATGCTCCCATAGAAACTAAGAAAAAGAAACCCTACAAACAACCACACGACTAATAAAATAATGCCAGGCATCTTCCCTTCCTCGTAAGCGAGACAATCACAGATAAACAAAACGCGTTTCTCCTTCCTTTCTTTTCATGAACTACAAAAGCTTCCGGCCAACAGTGACCAAAACAATCCGACCATTCTCTCACATAAAAGCTTCTTCAGAAATGACTTCTGGTTTTCGAGCACGAACTATTTCTCCTATCCACATCCTTTTGATCCTATTCCTTCTCTTCCTCATCTTTCGTCCTTTGTACGCCCTCTTGCTCGCCTTTGCGGTCGTCTTTTGGAACTTATTGTTATTCCTAATGCACGTCTGTTACGTTTGGACCATTATCCTGACTAACTGCACCATTCAGTACGAGGATAGGACAGTCAATCCGGCACTACGGTATATACTTTTATTGGTGCAATCGTGGATTGTCGTGGTTTTTACTTTGCTCTTGATTGGTGTTTCGTTTGAAATTTGTGGGTATTTGATTGGTACTGTTTTTGTTGCTGTCGGTCTCTTGCTGTCGGGCTGCTATGACCTGTTGATTTTCGCTTTTTCTGCTCTGTGAGTCGAACAGACTTCTTTGGTAAGTGTGAGCGAGATATTGGAATGGGTGGATGGAGAAATATTACAGGATATTGATTGTTTGGACACTGAGACCTCAATTCAAGGTATAGTTGGATCTCCAAGACCCTATTGATCATGTCATGATTGCGATTATGCCCGTCTCTATCTGAAATCGAATCCTTTTGCAATGTCAATCGTGAATCACGTGATAGGTAATCCGTGCTGACTGAACCAGAAGCCGGGAAGGATTCGAATGAGGTACGATCGGTGTTGGATGCTGGACATGGGACATGCATCCATGATATGTTGAAGATACCCAGGACTTTATCTGACTGGCAATAATTCAAATATCTTCCTCCTTCCTTGGACAGTGCTGTGATCGCAATTCGATGGATATAATTCAACCAAGACAGGTACCCCGAGTAAGCTCAGTACGATTGATGGAAACGCAGCGTGAGATATCCGTACTCTGCTGGACACCGGTATGTGCATCTGTAATATGGTGGAACAGACAAGAAACCATCAGACCGGTGCTGAATAAAGTACTCCATTCCGTAAGAGCGTACTATGGCCGCAGTCGCATCTATCTGAAGTCGACCAGTGATGAGAACAGGACGGACCGAGAGCATGGCTACCCTGTACACCAGCACCATGACCACATACGCATCTTTTCCTTCTTTCTGAAGTCGAATCTCATACCATATCAATAACAAGCTAGTTTAATAAACCGTTTTTTAGGGTTGTGTCTACCCATCGTTCTTTCTCCGCTGGTGCCTCATATACATGGCCAACGCCAAGAACCGCTTAGCATTCCTAATAGCCCTATTCTCCACAACACCGTATTTAGCCGCGGAAAAGATAAATCCCTCCATCTGCAAAACAACATCTCGTCAACTGCCTCACTGACAGTGCAATTGCCATGAGCAGAATTGCCTCCAGGATATCTGTGTTGCTTTATGTAGTATCACACATCCGATTGGTCCATCCAGTATATAGAACTTGCTCGTGTTTGCTTATTGGTTAATTTGTTTTTGTTCCGGCGCTTTTCCTTTTTCTGCTGTTTCTAGTCCGCTTTTGGACGGCTATAATGACCCAACTGTTCGACTGATGATGATTGGATATACAGCTCTTATGTGTGATGTTACCGTCGAAGACGGCTATGAACGCCATTTCCTCATTTCGGGTCCCTCTGAAGTCGAATATTGGGTTTTGTTAGATATCGAATTTGAATGAATTTGAATCAGCTTTGTCAGTGTTCGCAAAACTCGGTATAGAATATCGACAAGGCCATCGATGACAGTCCGTAATATCTTCGCCATTGAAGTTTCCGTCTAATCCATATTATTCTTGTTCATGACCTTTCTGGGGAACTGGCAGGGAGGATTGAGCCGGTACTAGCGCTCGTCTCGGCGGGAGATGTCTACGTTTGATTTCGCTCGATGGTAAATAGGCGTTAGCGGATGTTTGATTCGGATATGATGATGAAGGTCATTGCGTTGGGAACTGTGTACAGACCGGCGGAAACATGGGTTAACGCCAATCTGCCAACACTGAGTTGTACTAGAAATCGGGCTCGTCGGATAGGCATCTAGCTAGCTTTTGAACTTCCATAAATAGTACAGGGCAGAAGTGATATGCTGTTAGCAACTTGCATCTGCGGTAGGGATAGATGTTAGATAAACAGCAGATGTGCAAGAGACGAGTAGCCGTGTAGATTAAATTCGGTCCTCGTCGGACTTCCATGGACTGTATGCGATAGTCTTGAACAACATGAGTCTATTGGTGGACCATCTGACGAGACTAATATGAAGGAAGAGAAAGGAGCTTGGTCTGCTAGCGGTGAGGTATCTAGTATGTGCGAAGGGGTTCCTGCCCTATATCCAAATAGGACAAATGTCACGGGCTCGGAATAGAAGATAATAATGAATCGACGTTCCTATCTAAACTATTGTAGCCACGGACGAGAATATCGAATCTGGGAACGAAGAAGAAAAGGATCTATCTGGGCGAGGAACAGTCTCTAGACATTTGTGTGGTGCAGATTAAGCCCTTGTTTGCCCATATTGCTTGTATGGCATCCTTGACATGTTGGCAATGCTTGTCTGGCGTTGACCCGTCACACCCAAAATAGTCAAGCATACCATGCCACTGGCGAGCGCTTGTGCTCCGTGACACTGTACACATGTGCTGATTGAAGCACGAAAACTCGCTTTATCCATTCAATCAACATCACCTACTGAACGACAGCAGTTGGACAGATTCCAATATTCATGCAACCGCAACTAACCAAGGAAACTCGATCCTTCGCCTGCATCTGGCTATGTCAAATCCTAATCCATAAAGAAGTCGAGACATAGGTTGCACACGTCTGAGCTTGGCCTGGATCGGTTAGGATCAGAATCCGTTCATGGTGGGAGGATGGAAGCTTTAAAGCATTCTCCGTAATGCCAAGAGTTCCAACCTGCTCCGTCAAACCCATTGATTTAACACGGTGCCTTCACTGTCCACTGAGGATCGTAAGTCATGTATATTGCCAGCTTCTGAGGTGGGAGGCTTTCATACCTTGGAGTACTCGTCTTTTTGTGGCGGTCTCATTCAATATGAGTCTATTGGTAGACTATCTGACGAAATTCTAACATGAGGAGAGAAACGAAAAAGCAGGGCCTGCCGGCGAGGGGCTGTTTAGTATGTGCAAGGAGTTCATGCCTTACTCCAGACAAACCAAAGTGATCAAGCATGCTACACATCTAGCGAGTGTCCATGTCTCGTGACAGGAACACCACTTCTCAGCTCTTGAGGTATATGTATCACTCGCGGCAGTCTTCTGCCAAAGAAAGCCGGTTGATGTTGCTAGTACCTTGCAAGAACAGTATAACATGAAAAGTTTTGACTCACTACTCGTTTAAGAGACTGATTTGCATGTTGTCTCCTCACAGCCATCCCGCCATTTCCGCGGTCTCTTGCTTTTAGATAATCTCCCATCGTTAGCACGAACTCTCTTCTTGGCTTGCACTATGGCGTTTAGCTCATGCGATTCATAACGCTGAGTGCTCGGTACAGATCGAAAATAAATTCTAATATTGTTAAGAAAGCTCCAAAAAGCCAAGCATTGCATACTTACTGAGACAGCCATCACGGTTCAAAGGAACCGGCTGGCGGAGCCAGAACGGCCTATTACCTTCTGCGAATCCAGAGCACCTCCCGATACCCTTCAGACTGAGTCTTCGGTAGCGCGTTCAGTCTAGGGCTTGTTCCCAGATGCACCCTTTACAGCGCTTGCCGTCTCCTTGCGCTCTGTTATAATTGCTGGGTTCTTTTTCCCGATAATTTGTCTCATCGCGTGAGCGTGTATGTTGTGCGAGAGTCTGCTGTGGCTCGGAATGGGCGGATGGCCTTCGTTCTCCATGACGTTCTCAAGCGCCGGTTATTTCTTTCGATTATGAATATTTCAAGCATTTTTGGAGATAGGTAAATAGTGGAGATTGAGCTGTATGGGGAGGAGGTAGAAGAGGAAACAGAGGAATAAACCACAATGATGACTGATTGCAGTTCTCCTGACTGTACGAAAGGGATGCGGGAAAGTAAGGCAAATTTTGGTGGCTGAAGAAAGGAAAGATGAAGCTAAATATATCTAGAGTTGATAGTGTTGTTCGATCAATGCAAAAAGCTGGGCAAGGCGTAGTATTTATATCGCAAAAACGTCTACACTAATGCTAAGCGAGCGCTGCTTTTCTTTGTCTCAAAGTGAACGCACCAGCAACTTACGGAGGTTGCCAAATGGACCGTGAATCTACAACCCTTTGTCTGAAATGGCTGAGCAGGATTCGCTGCACTTCGGGTTAGAAAAATTATAGGAGCGAAACCCCTAACTCACCAATATCGATTCAATCACTGAACCTACTGACCATTGCCAAGTTAAGGCAAACTAGTCGTCCTAGATAGGCTTCCGAAGAAGACCGCAAACACGCCTGTGACGGCCCAGAGAAACAATTCAGTGATCTAAGAAACCATGTGCTTTCTTCCATTTGCATATATGGTAATTTCCACAAAATATAATCACATGGTACTCATGCATTTTGTAGTCGCCCTTTTTCTGCGTGAAGTTCCCACTCCTTGCATTTAAAAGAATGAGGACCAATCCAGAAAACAAAAGGACCATGGCCGGGCATGAGAAGCCTATAATTGTTGACTGCCTCGTCAAGAATTCCGAGTCGACAGAGGAAGTCATCACTCGGTTGAATAAGAATCCGAGTGAAAAGAGGCCATTCTAGATCAATCCATGTCTCGAACACCACCAAAAAATTTTGACGGAGGCTGTTGGGTGAGCATACGTCCCCAGCCAGCTTCAGGGCCTAAATACGCATCCTCTTCGGGGCATCGAGTAGTGAGAGGTTGCAAGAGGAATATGCATTGTGGCGGTCTTTGCTGGAAAGCCACTTACGGAAATATTCCGGCCAGATGTGGCTTTTGAACAGGGGATTCTGAACGCAGCTGCGGCCGTAGCGATGGGATTCTTTGGCTGGTTTGAAGAAGAGAGCGATTTGACGGTCATCTGTGTTTTGAATTAGGTCGTACCAATGGTGGCAGACGCGTTGAACCGAGGTTAGTAGGGTATGTGTCTGTGTGGACGAGGATTTGTTCGAGGATTTCTCGTATCCAAGCTACTCTATTGGCGGGGTCGTTCATTTTGAAAGATTGCTGAGCTATTCGTTTCTTTCCGTGAGAGATGTGAGAAATTGACTGAAATAGGCATCTATGCTGCCAGAACGTCAATGTATGATGTGTTCGAACGCCACTCTGGACGAGGGATATGTCCTAAGCCGAGTTGAAGACCTTATGCAGATGAAAGGAGGATCTGCAGGTGAGAAACGATCTTGAGCTTACAAAGATGGTAAGCAAAAGAAGAAAAACGGATCCAAATGCTATATCTGCGAGAGGGCAGGGCATTTCGCGACGGAAGGCCAGAATAAGCATGAGAGTGATGACGATGAGGATCATCCAAAATCCAAAAGTCGACAAGGCAAATCAACAAAGCAAAAGAGTCGGTTTGCTGGAGCACAGAGCAGCAATGATGACGCCAACCAATATGAGATGGATGAATTCAGCTCGTACGCTGTAAAAAAATCGGAAATGGACCGATTTATAAGAGAAAAGGGAAATCGAGCAAGCAGCAGTCCATCAGTATGGTGTTTTGATAGCGGAGAAACAAGCATGTCAACCGGTAATAAGGATATCTTCGAGAGATTGGACCAAAAGAGCCGCGGAACTCTAACTATAGCGAGCGGAGTTCATATGCCTATTTTGGGCAGGGGAACAGTCAAATTTAGCCTGCTAAATAAGTCCACACTCCGATTGAATAATGTCATATATGTACCGGGTCTGGCAGAGAACCTGTTGTCATTAAAGGCACTTGTCACGACTCATATATGACGGCTCAACACTGCAGCAATGAATGATACATCGCAAATGCTGCTACTCAGCCATATCGCAAACAATCTCTAGAAAACCACTTCATTACCTAGATAAGTTTCCTCTTCTCTTTTCTTCTCCGGGTTCGATATTCTCGTCGATGGTTGCAATAGTCTAGATAGGAACATTGATTCATCTACTATTCCGAGCCCGTGACAGCACTCCATGTTGCGGGATTTGAGTCAAAGGGCTCAATCAGAAGATACACACTATTGAAGAATGATAGAGTGGTTGTCAAAGGAAAGCGAATCGGACGATCGACCTACCTGGATAGAGTCACGCATGCGAACACCTTGTATGTAAAGCAAGAGCAAGCAAGAAAGTGTGCTGAATTCATTGGAAGGCCAGATGAGAAATCAGTGATTCAACTGCTCAGCGGACAAGCCGCCAGAGCTGAAACTGAAGATGAAATCAATCAACGCCGGCAACTTATTCATCAATAACTTGGACATCCTGGAAAGAGACGCTTTAACAGCTGTGTTGAAGCCTTGGACATGGATCAATCGAAAGTTGGCAAACGAGATAAGCTGCTAGAAGAAAATTGCGAGATATGCGTCAAAGCGAAGCAAGTGAAGAACCAGAACCATGTTCCAGTTCCTAAAGCAAAGAGACCGCTCCAACAACTATATATGGACTTCTGGGTCCATATGATGAAGGCATAGGTGAAGAATGATATTATCTTTCACTGATAGATGATTACACGCGGCATTCATGGGTCTTTATCAAGAAGAATCAGTTATCTAGCTCAGTACAGAATACACTGGAGGTATGGCTGTGCCAGATTGAGCGAGAAGCTGGCAAGATGCTGTTGGTCATACAGACTGATAATACGAAGGAGTTTTTAGCTTTGGAAACATGGGGTCTGTTGAGAGGCATCCAACTTGAGTACATTGAGACTTACACACATCCTCAGAATGGTGTTGCCGAATGATTCAACCAATACATTTTGGAGATCACGAGAGCTCTCCTATTTCATTCAGGTGTTAGCAAGAGATATTGGAAATATGCAGTGGTGGCTGCAAATTACCTGCGAAGTCAAGCAACATTTGTCAAGGAAAGTGACAATAAAACACCATTTGAGTTATGGTATGGGCATAAGCCGGATTTAGCCCACTTGCAAGTTTGGGGCTGCAGGGTACTTTATCACCACAAGTCTGATGACAAGCTTGAAAGTCGTGTTATGGAGGAAACCTTCTTATTGTATTGGAAGAGTGACAAGCAGTATCATGTACTGCCAAGGGAGCCAGTGATATATAGCTGGTAGCCAATCCAACTTTCCGAGAGCGAGAACATGTTTATTTGACTGAGGTGATAAACACCAATATGAATGACATGCTGTCAACCAATATGCAAGTGTCAACAACTATCAACAGCAAGAAACTGCCTGAGAATCCACAGGCTGGAGTATCGAGCGGCCCTGACAAACATCCAACAGAGTCTGTTAAGGATTATGTACGTCCGCAAGGGGAGCCAAGCATATTAGTGGATGACACAGAAGATGACCAGCAAGACGCTCCCAATACCCAATCAGAAGAGGCGGAGTCACAGCCACTACCATCCATGCATAAGGTGGATGATAATATGGATAAAGACAAGCTGCAACCTGAATCCACAACTGAGGTGGATAATAAACGGTGTGACAAATTACCACCAGAAGGGTTGGTGGAGCAGCAGAGTGCTTTTGAAAAGACCCCACAAGAGACTGAAGAGGTGTCTGTGGATGCTGATGAGAGCATGCCAAATGGACCACCTGAACGTTGTTCTGTTCGTACGCGTCAGCCTTCGAGCGCGTTGATGGAGAGCCACCAAAGTGAGAAGGTATATGGCCGCAAGCGCAAAGCTGAAGAAGAGCAGGATGGTGATCATCAAGCTCAGTGCATGCGGGTCCATTTTGCGAGACTTGCAGTAGCCACTGAATTGCTGATTGGTGACCAAGAATATAAGATTGCGCATCAAGAGCGTGAGAAAGCAGGCATATAGATACCAAAATCATACAGAGAGGACATCAATGATCTGATATATGGTGCTATATGGAAAGAGGCTATCCATAAAGTGCTAAGCACCCTGATAAGCTTTGGAACCTGGAAAGTCATACCCCGGAAGCAAGCTGAAGGGAATATATCAACCTGCAGATGGGTGTCTGATGTGAAACTAGGCTTGGACAGCCAGATCGATTGGTTCAAGGCCAGGCTAGTTGCCAGGGAAAACGAGCAATCAGATGATGATTTTGATGAGACTTTTGCGCTGGTATTTCGACTCGATAGCCTGCAGATCTTGTGTGCAATAGCAGCCAGATATGAGCTGATTGCGCATGTAATGGACGCGTTAAACGCTTTCGCTAGATCTAAACTTGACAAGCCGAACTGTATGGAGATTCCAGAAGGTCTTCAGGATTTCAATCCAGACGCCAAGGGAGGCATGGTCCTGAAACTTTTGATGTCTCTATATGGACTACGTCAATCTGCATACCTGTGGCATCATAAGATCAGTCAATTTTTGAAGAATATTGGCTTCAATCCCATTGCTGCGGATCCAAGTATCTTCATCAACAAGTGGCGACTGATTATTGCGCTGTATGTGGATGATATAGTTATATTTGGCATGGATGAGGGCGAAATTAACGCAGTAAAAGAGAAGCTGAAGGAATTTCATCCAATGTCTGATGGTGGATTGGTCAAAAAGTTGCTTGGAATCCGCTTCTCATGGAAAAGAGATGGTTCCATTTGCCTAGACCAGGAATCCTATACACGTCAGATTCTTGAGGAGTTTGGCATGGGTGATTGCAATCCTACAGACATACCAATTAGCCCTAGTGTGAAGTTGAATTCGGAGGACACACCACAATTTGGACAGAGCGAGCACAAATTATTTCAGAAATTGATTGGACAATTGGTGTCACGGAGTACGGGCATTCACCAACAACGCAAGATGTTTGTAAACTTTGGCCTGTTTGAATATAGGGCAGGAACCCCCTTCGCACACTAGATAGCGCAGCGCTGGCAGGCCCAGCTTCTTTCTTTCCTTCTCCATGTTAGTATTTCGACAGAGAGTCTACCAATGAATTTATATTGTTCGAGACAGTCACAATTGGTATTCATGGTAGTTGCTACCAGGCCTGATATCGCCTTTGCGGTTAACCAATTGTCTCAATATCCTGCTGAACCGCGCCGAATCCATCTTGGAGCCGCCAAACATATACTTCAATATATCAAAGCAACTATAGCTTATGGATTGACTGTATATGCAGATTCTGCATATGCTAATGCAGCAAAGAGCCGGTCAACCACAGGCTTCATATTGATGATTGATGGGGCACCGATTACCTGGACAAGCCGGAAACAGTCAGTTACTGCGCAGAGTACGACTGAAGCTGAGTATATGGCAGTTTCAAAAGCTCCTAAACAAGTGATTTGGACACGACACTTCCTATACGCGATAGGGAAGTCATCCATTTATAGCAGCACACCCACCACCATATATGAAGACAATCAAGGACCTATCAATCTAGCCGACAATCCGATTAACCACCCGAAGACCGAGCATATCACAGTGCGCTACCATGCTATATGGGATCATATAGGTAATGGTGAAGTCCGCCTCGAGCATCTGCCTACAGATCAGATGATTTCTGATGCTCTAACAAAGACGAGCCCAAGAATGACTTGTCAAAAGATTGGGCATGGTTTAAAGGGGAGAATTCGGAGAAACTTTCAACACAAATGGAAGTGGAAGTATGCGTCCAACCACTGCTTATCAGACTGCCAGATCATTATTTGAGTGATTTGTACATGCAGCGATTGTACGAAGGGAAGTGATGAAAGTTGAGATGGATTAATAGCTGGTCCGATTACCGAGGCCGACAGATCCCTCATATGCGGACAGACTCGTTTAGATAGCTAAGCACTCATTCTACCATCTATGGTGTCTATAGATATCAATGCCACTCTCCGTGTAATCTAAATTTCCTCTTCATATATAGCCTCGTGCAGTCCGGATAATCGACTCCCCGACTTCCCCGACTTGGAGTTTAACCGCCTTATTGGCTTATCCGTTTCAATGTATAAACTCCACGTGATGTGCTATGGGTCGAGCCAATTAGAATCCGAATTGACTCTTTACGGAGTAGTATTCGGAAAACCCCCACAACGGCCTGAGCCGATGATAGACCACGGGCGGGTTTACGGGTTAAACAAACCTTTTAATCTTCTCTATCCATATACGCACGAAGCACAGAGTGAACACTACCGCGACTTACTGAAGAAATGGAAATCCCCAAGTACCAAACAGCCGCGTGCATCGACAAGCCACGACCCGGCGCACGGCTGGAGATCCGCCATGATGTCCCTGTCCCGGAGCCGGGGTCTGGCGAGGTGTTGGTTAAGATGGAATGGACTGGGTTCTGGTATGTGTTGCAGTTGAGCTAATATACCTATGTGGACAGACGCTAAGTGACAGTCACTCGGATCTACATAATCTGACCGGAGAGTTGCCGATGACTACTAATGTCCCGGGCCATGAAGGGATAGGGAGAGTTGTTAAAGGTTTGTCGTTATTCATTCCGGTCCTGTGGATTGGAAGCTCATCTTATTGGCTACTAGTTGGTCCCGATACCGCACCGGAAATTATGGGAAAGCAAGTCGGGGTAAAGTGCGTACTCGTATCTGATGAAGTAAGGGTCATGCTAATTGGAATAGGTGGCTGTATAGTACCTGCAGAAAGTGCCCGACATGCCAGGTACAGTATACGAACTGTGCCAATCAGAGCAATTCGGGAAGAGTAAGCATTTTGGAATATATGTGATGGTCTATACAAATACTAATGACTGGTAGAACGTTCCGGGGACCTTTCAACGTATGTTTATCATTTGAACTGGAATGTGCTGGCATTGACGAGTACAGAATATGTGGTTTCACCTGCCGACTTTGTTTCCGTTATTCGGGAAGATCTCAAGCCGGAGGCAGCTGCGCCTTTGCTGTGCGGTATGTTATTATATACTGATAACGTGGCTGATATGGACTAATGTGTATAGCTGGATTGACCATGTATGGCGCATTAAATAAGCTTGAAAGGTTATGTAGGTCAGGCGATTGGGTGGTTATCATGGGTGCTGGTGGTGGACTTGGACATTTGTATGTCAACCCTGGCTTACAGTGCTGCGTACGCCATATCTGACCATATGTAGGGGAGTACAGATCGGAAAAGAGCTGGGATACCGCATCATCGCTGTCGATAGCGAAAACAAGCGAGATATCTGCATTAGCTCCGGCGCAACTGCCTTTGTCGACTTTAGAGACAACGTACGCCCCCTTGCAGGTCACCCTATCTAAGACGATGCTAACAATGCCAGGCCCGAGAGCGCATTCTCTCCTTAACCGACAACATCGGGGCTCACGCTGTCATCGTGGTCGTCGGCCTCGAAAAAGCCTACGAACAAAGCGTCCAGTTCCTCCGCCCCGTCGGAACCCTGGTCTGCGTTGGTCTCCCTCGTCCAGACTACCACATCCCCATTTCGCCGATTCACTGCGTCAATAGCGGATACCACATTGTAGGTAGCGCGGTGGGAACAGAAGACGAAATGCAGGCGTTGCTGAAGATGGCGGCGGAGGGAAGAGTGAACACGCAGTATGAAACGTTCAAACTCGAGGAAATCAACGAGGTTGCTGCGAGATTGCAGCGGTTTGAAGTAGAGGGGAGGGCGGTATTGCGGATTCCGTAGGCGCCTCGATACGATGTACATATTAGATAACATTGACGTTGATACAGGAGTGCAACGGGGTACTCCGATGTATGATAGATCATAGCAGTCGAAACATTGGCCAGGTGTTAGACGTTAATATAGATACGCAGGACAAAATGGAGTAGATATTCCCCCATATCAGGCATAGCTATGCAGACGGAGATATCCGCCATGATGTCCGGAGAACCCGCAAAGCGTGATACTGGATGCGCACCTGATTGGCAGATATGCATCCAAGTAGATATTCAGGGGCCGAGGTTGATTTTACCCTCACCAATAACAGTACAGACCCTTTTGAGAAGCTCTCAATTGACCGCCAATCGATTCATCAGACACGTCCCCCCGGCCTGACGATTGGCCGATCTACAGCCGGGCGGGGATCTACAACACCCGAGCAGCCAATTGTGGTGGCCGCGGTTATGTGCGAGGACAATGTAACCTTTCATTAAATGTCCGTGATAGCTAATTGTACACCGTAGTCTGGAAAGCTGAGATCACGAAGACCACGGAGGCTAGGGATGCTGGGCGATGACTGCTCGCATACTTAAACCCCGTCATCTGCTGGTCATTGTGACACGACAACTCCAGGCTTCATCGTGACTGCATCAGCATCTCTACTACAAGAACACATAACCACACGCCCCCCTTCTCCCAAACTGACAATCTCCAAGCCAAAATGCAGCTCACAAAGGTACGCCCCATATCTCTCTCCACCCGCAATCCCCAACTAATCAACATCAACACCACAGTACCTCACCCTCACAACCCTCCTCTTCATCCAAACCTCTCTCGCAGCCCCGGCCCCCCAGCCCCAAGTCGCTCGGGCATGTGACTACACCTGCGGCAGCAACTGCTACCCCAGCAGCGCCGTCTCCTCTGCCCAGAACGCCGGCTACAACTACGTCGAGCAAGGCGGCCACGCCGGCAGCAGCAGCTACCCGCACGTCTACAACAACTACGAGGACTTTGACTTCCCTGTGCAGCCGACGTACTATGAGTTTCCGATCTTGAGCGGCGGGTCGACATACTCGGGTGGTTCGCCGGGCGCGGATCGGGTTATTTTCAATGAGGATGGGGAGCTGGCGGGAGTGATTACGCATTCGGGGGCTAGTGGGAATAACTTTGTGGCTTGTGAGTAGAGTAGGATTGGTATGGCTAAATAATGGCATTGGATGGTTGTGTGTATGGGATTACTTGGAATCTGCTTGTAGTACTACGGCAGTTTGTTCCCACTATGGATCGACATGTTTCGAGGTCACTCCCCTCCGGACAAGTGAGCATAATATCTTTGTTCCACTATAGCACTTTGAAGAACTCATTCAGCTTTATCTAAGACCGTTTGCTCGTTTTGTTCTTAATTTTGTCGCCTTCCAAAATAACAGGTCATGTGACTAGAGACAAACTCGTTCATCACCTCATCAAGGAACGGCTTGGTGTACTCTGAGCGATGCAAAACTATAAATGACTACGAACTGTGGGATATGGGACCCTGAATATAAGCTCAGCAAGTCCCCGCTCAAAGAATTTTAGGTTGCAATCTGACCTGCATCGGGATATATAGTGAGTTATGGGGTTATGAAAGCATAGCGATATGGAGACCAGTCCTGTCCTATGACACAGCATATGGCTAAGGCCACGACATCTTCTGCGAAAAGGAGTTGAGACACCCAAAAGATGCTTGCTCTATACGCGGGGTCCTGAGACGGAACATACGACGGGCGGAGCGTAAACCGCCTATCTGGTAGCTAAGCTAATTCTATCATACACGCTGGCGGAGCCTCCCTCGCAGGAGCCTGCTGAAAATTCTTGGGCTGCGTCACACAGCACTATACATTCATTCGGGGGGGGGGGGGGGAAGGGGAGAGAAAGATGTGAAGAAGGGAGAGGAAGAGAGATTTTTTTAGGGGGAGGGGGTTTGAGGTCAATGTGCTGGGCATATTTTGCTGTAAGGTTGAGACCTCTATAACCATTCATAGAGATCCCTTGTTCCTGACTTAGAGCGCAGAATCTCATCCAACTGTCGGTTACCCCATGGCTGTGGGGAGGTCTTATGGCCTTTCCGGCAGTAGTAGAAGTGGTTGGGGTTCTTTAGGCGCCCACATGACCACTCTCACTTGGCATCTTCATGCCCGAAGCGCTCATGATATGAGGCAAAGTCCCCATGGCCTGACCGGACAGCAAGGAGTCGACCGAGGGTGGCTCTGGGGAGAGATAGTTCATGGGTCGTTTATCTAGGCCAATGGAGAGGTCCTGATATTTCTGCAGCGCATTCTCAGTCCAGTGTGATTGGAATCATCGCCAAAAGACCTCCTTCAGAGCCTGGTGTGCCCAGGCATATCTTGTTGGGGGCGTGTTGGTCTGTGGGGTTGACCTAGCTCCTTTCTTCGCTTGTTCATCGGCCTGTTCATTTCCTGTAATACCAGCATGCCCAGGGATTCAGCAGACATGCACTTGTCCAGGAAGGATAGTCTCATATCTGAGGGGCCGATTGGGCCAGGTGTTCGCGATTTCTTGGAAGGTCAGGATGGTGCTTTGGCTAGAGCCTGTGGGAGAGCCTGTTGTTAGCTGTCGTGTTACCTCCTGGTTATTGAGAAGGATGTATAAGTTCTGTGTGCAGGGGGCCTGGACACTATTGAGGACAGCTTTCAGCCCCTCAGTAGCTGTAGTGGCTTCTGCATCAAAAACTTCATGCCGGGGGAGGCAGAGGTGGCCGCAGGTGGACTCTAGCTTCCAAGCAGCCCAGTGTCCATACCATCCAACACCAGCCACAACATCAGAGCTGCTCAAGCGGCCGCCATCAGTGAAGAGGAACATGGGAGTGGAGGGCATGTATTAGCCCACTGTTGTAAGGTCATACCTGGCCTGTCTCGGGTAGAGCAAATTTTTTGGCTAGTTCCAAGGTCCTCAGCTTGCCAGAGGGGGATATATCAGAGGGTCAGTCTGTTCTACCCCCTCTAGCCATGTCAGGTGATTTTGGATTAGGCGTGTGTTTGCAGGAAAGGGTCATGTTGGAATAAATGCCTGGAAACAGGGTGATGGTTGTCTAACCTGGAGGCTCACAGCCTGGCGACGGCGCGTTTCTGGTCGAGAATGATCTCCATCGGGGGAATGACAATTTCCCGGAGAAGAGCTGAGATAGGGGTAGTGCGGTATACTGGAAGAGTTCCCCGGAGGGCTTCTCTGAGTACCCGGTTAAGGTGAGAAAGGTGTGACGGTCTGGTCACGTTGGCTGGCCACACGTGAGATGCAGTTGTTTGCTTTGTTGATAAATACGGCGTCACCTTCTTTCTTCCTTCCTCGTGTTGATTATTCTCGTCGATAGCTACATAGGTAGAACCCATGAGTTGGTTGTTCCATTATCATAGTAGAGCGCCGTGACAAAAGGGAGGAGTCAACTTGGTTTGAAACCATGTGTCACGGGCTCGGATGGTAGATGACAATGAACCAATATTCCTATCTATTGTAACCATCAACGAGATTATCGAATCTGGAGAAGAAAAGAGAAGAGGAAGTCTATCTAGATAATGAAGGGGTTTTATAGAGGTTGTTGGTGACATGAGTGAGTAGCAGCATTTGCGATGTATTATTCATTGCTGCAATGTTGAGCCGTCATATATGAGTCGTCACATCATGTGTTGATTCCAGGGCCTGTGTCGACTTGGCCACCAGGCCTCTGCTCCATAGCATAGGACTGAGATAACACAGGTGACTGTAGCTTGTTGCAGTAGGTGTGCCCTAGTCCCTCTAACTGTGTTGGCTAATGCTCTGACACCAGCCGCTGTCTGCTTGGCTTTTGCAGCCAGGGTTTTGTGTTCTGTCACGGAGTACGGGCATTCACCAACAACGCAAGACGTTTGTATACTTTGACCTGTTTGAACACAGGGCAAGAATCCCCTTCGCACACTAGATAGCGCAGCGCTGGCAGGCCCAGCTTCTTTCTTTCCTTCTCCATGTTAGTATTTCGACAGAGTCTACCAATGAATTTATATTGTTCGAGACTATCACAGGCTGGGGAGAGATGGGGTAGTCTGATATGAGAGACTCCAAACCTTGTCCCTCATCAACTGCTCCACGTGAAGCGTTATAGATGTTGACCAAGAATGCTGTCTTCTGGGGGGTGTTGATTTGGACAGCTAGGAAGTCTCTAGATAATGGTCCGAAATGAACTAGTTCAGCTTTCAGGTGTGGGTGTTTCCGTATGTATGTGAGAACCCAAGGTCTAGCTAACCAATCTTCAATCAGGGCGAGTTGGTGAAAGGATGGTGTGTGTTTAGATATTTGACGGGAGCGGTCTGTAAAGGTCCAGGGCTCCTGAATTAGCACTGCATGACAGTTGTTTTCAAAAGCCAGTTGAGGTGCGGTTTCATGCGCTTCCCAGTTACAGCCAACGTTGAGTTGGAGGATCTGTAAATGAGATAGTCTCTCTAGCATGGTTGAGGAAGCAGAGGAAAATCCAGGGGGGCTTCTCCAGTTGTGGTGACTTGTGAGGAGTCTCATGTAGTTTTGGTTGTGTTTTAGGGATGCTAGCTGGGGCTTTTCTAGCAGCTTCGGCATAGCCACTGTGCGCAGAGGGAAATCACTGGTGTTTCTCTTCCCCTTTGGTGGTGTCCCCGGTTGCCAAGTTCTTGCTTAAATTGAGGACCAGGGTCCTAAAGTCTTTGCCCAAAGCTACTGTGCTCCTAAGGCCTTTTTCCTCCCAACTGGAAACTTTCTGACTGATCATAGACACAAGGTCCAGGACCTCATCTCCTGTAGTTTTTATCTCCGCTGTGCGGGATGCTACCACTGCTGCAATGTGGCTTCGGAGCTCGAGGCCCAATTGGCACTGGGGGGTTTCATGGGAAGGGGATGCTGGGGGTGTGTCCTGAACAGACTGGCCAGGTAATTGCCAGTTCCCGAGGGTAGGAGCAGGTTGTGTGGTCCCCTTTGGTGTTTCTGGTCTCAGTCGTTTGGGCGGTCGCTTCGGGGTGGTGGATTCCCGGGGGGAAGCAGCCGGGGATTCGCGGGCGCCCGGGGCTTCCCCCATATTGATACCATGCATAGGGTTGGCAATTGCAATGCTTCTGTACTCGGTGGCTGGCGTGGAATTCATGAGCAGGTACTCACGAATTTTGGCGCTGCGTGTAGTTATCTCCACTTTCGCTGTCTGCCTCGTACTGCCACCGCGGGTGATCAGGTGATCATATCTGTTCGTGATATGGCATAGAGGTTCGTATACGAGGGATCGACAATGTCTTTTCCCGTCTTTCCTCCGTGATGCTGAAAAATACCGTCAGCCTGAAATGAACATCTTTTTTGTTCTTCTGTTATTCTGTGCATTCTCCTCCTTTCTCCAGCCATATCTGTCGTGGAATATCGTGATACTTGCTTTCAAGATCCAGCAGCTTCGTGATGATGCGTTACTTAATCTTGCTAGGAATATTCCTACACTTCGCAAACCCGATCGCCTTGGCAGCAACAACAGAAGAAGACCGGCAATGTTGGTTTTTCAACGATCGTCTAGCACCAGACGACGTGCCCTGCAGCGGCAAATATTACACCCACTGCTGTGCCAAAAACGAAGTCTGCCTATCGAACGGGTTATGCATGAACACCGGCCATCAACCATACGTGCTGGCAAGACGAAGCTGCACAGATAAAGCCTGGCAAACAGGTAGTTCCTGCACAAATAAGTGCCATTATAGTATGCAGTCAAGCATGCCTTGGGTACTGATACTGGTCAAGCTGACTTTCTGCCTCGGCGAAAATAGATAATCCAAACGGCGGCAGCACAATATCCCTCGCCACTGAAGATGGCGATAACAACTATTTTACCTACTGCTGTGGCGAGCCGGTGGTCGCCGAGAATGGAACCATAGGCTGTGATGGAGGTCGTACCCCCTTTACTGTGGAGAGTGGCGAGATGCTGTACGGCTACGCAGCGTTGGAGAACACCACGACGACCGCTCCAAAGTCATCATCAAACAAGAGAGAAGTCGCCATTGGTGTCGGGGTCGGGGTTCCGCTGGGTGTCATTGCGGCGTCCGCTATTGCCTGGGCTATCTGGGAGAGGTTACAGAGGAAGAAGGCGTTGGGTGCGGGTACCGGAGCTGCTGCGGCTCCGGCGTATCAGCCGGTCATGAAGCCTGACTCTTATATGCCTGTGATTCAGAATGTGCCAGTATCGGTGCCGGTGGAGCTGGAACAGCGCCAGCGGCCTATTCCGGAGTTGCAGGGGTCGCATAGGATGTAAATGTGCTCCTTATATTTTTATGTTTGTCATAATATACTCTATTACACTAGATCTAATTACGCGGATTGCATGAGTTGAGCCACGCGCAGATGCAGGGATAGGAATAACAAATAGAAGCCAAGTAACACAAAACCTCCACCCGGAGCCTCCCTTTTTCCCCAAGTCGTCCTGTGTTATCACCTTTGAAATCGTAAACACTAGCTATGAGGCGTAATTCGCGATCACCATGTTTCAGAAATGTGATGTAGTCTCACGGCCTGCCACTCGTCAGGCTTCTTCTCCAAGCTGCGTAGAACGCAACCCCACACGCTAGAGCACGTCTGCAAAACGTCCTTTTATTAATAAATGAAGATCGCGAGGACATACTTGGCACGGGTGCCTTGTTATCAGCAAGTTTGCTGAGGCTTACCATATCAATGGCGGCAGATCGGTTTAAGGTGCTTATCCCTGCTCTCCCGTTTGAGTTGTCGGATAATAACCCGCAATTGCTCATGTATAATGTTGGATATGGGTTTGCGTCTGGTTTCTCGTGGGTTCTCGGTATGTCACTTACTTCGGACATATCGAGCGTGAGCATTTCGAATAATGTAAATTCTGTGATGGGCAGTGAAGGAGTGCGGAAAATAATGAAGATGTTCCTGAGATGACAGATGAAGAGATGGATCGTGAGGCAGAGGTTGTTTGTTCTTTTTCAAAGGTGAGTATTAGCCATTTAGTTTTATTGCGTAGGCTAACATGGACAGGTTTAAAACGAATAGTATTATTAGAGCTGAGAATCCGGTGGGGGAAGCATTGAAGGAAGGAAGGGAGATGAGAGGACGCTGATTGTTGATATCGCGTGCAAGTATGGATGGAGGCCGGAAGCTCAAGACACTAAGTATAGACTAAGTTAAACAATATAGCTAAAGGGGAAATTTTAGACTTAAGAGAATAAAAAACAAAAAGAAAGTTCAGTACCGAACTAGTGGTTCATCTAAATTTAAGCTTAACGCAATCTAAATACATGAACTCCAGTCTATCATACAAGGTCGCAAGGATGACCTAAATATCTCCTTCACTCCAGAAAAGTAACCCAAGCTACCTGACGAGGCTACAACCCCACCACCTCCTTTTCCCTCGCCCTCAATATACATGCATAATCCGATTGTCAGACACGCCATGCGGTCCCTGCGGCGCGGTGGTTGGTGCCAATGCCGGATCTCAGATTAGATCGCCCATCAGATGGATCCGAATCCTAGACAGATATGATCTTTCAGGTTAGCTAGGAAGAAGAAAAAAAAAGAAATCAAGAAAGGAAGTAGCGAGCAAACCTCACTTACAGTAAGCATCAAGGATTCACTAAGAGCCTTTCGTATTGCTTGATTGTCTCCCGAATCTCTCTGAGTTGAAGGGATGATAAATGATATATCTCGGGGTGTCGATTAGCTCGCACTAGAACACCGAGTCTTTGTTCAAGCGTGGCATTCTCTTTGCCGAACTCTCGGAGAATTCGTGCGGAAGGTGCTTCATTGCTTTCACTTGAAGGCATGGTGAGAGTAGTTGAGCAAAGATATGACTGACCCGTAGTATAAACTGGTTTGGCTCGGTAGTGTAGCAGACTGAATATGGTGATGAGCAATGAAATGTATGATGGTTCGAAGAGGAAGGAATTAACGAGTGAAGAAGAAGGTTCGTTATATAAACGTATCACGGGGCGAGCAATGAATTCATGATAACTGACTCTCGGGAACCTGCATTTGACGCCATCTCAATTCCAGAAAGCCCCGTAATAATCGATTGAATTAGTTCAAATGTCAGACTGAATGCGCATTGTTCTAGGATTCTTGCAAAAGTAAAACTCCAGATATACAATCAGACCAGACGGCCTTCCGAGCATTCAAATTTGTTTGCCCGGTTCATGTAGGATATATAATGATTGGATCCGATTCCGTATCGGACATGTTTGCTTTTGCTAACGTTAGGCACTAGATGCGAAAGAACGGAAGTTGCCGCAACACAAAAGTCCTTGTCAGAGTGCAAACGGTATCGAGTGATCTAAGTTCACTTATATTAGTTTCAGATAGATATCGTGAGAAACCTTAAACATGCAAAAGTTGCCGGGATCCAATATGCTTACCGGCAACTGGCCCGAAGTTGACGCCGAGCCGAACGAGGCTGTGATAAGATGTTAGGTATGCCGGTGAAGACTGACTGTGAACTGTACTACATTTGTATGTGTAACAAGGATGCAGGGCCCGATATTTCGGTAACCAACGTGGTCACGGTGGTGAAAATTAATACTCATTTCGCTCAGGGCCAAGATTGAGGTTACACTGACCATTTCCCCTATTTGAATAAGTTCTTGTTTCATTCGGTCACCGCTAAGGAGACGATGAATACAAACGGGATATTCACTTGTACGAATTACGCGTTATGCCTGGGAACATCTGTCGTTACCTCTTAAGCCCATCTCAGTTAGACTTGCCCGGCAGATATATGTCCTTGCTCAGTGTATCCATCAGGGGGAACTTTTCAAGCCCATGCCTAGATATATATCAGAAACAAAAATTGTGTGTAGGAATCAAGCTGTAATTACATGTTCAATTGATTCATACTTGGCAAGGTGCTCGTACATGATGATGGCTTGCATTACCTCGTCGGAGTTTTTGCGCGAAGAAGGGATTTTTAGTATCTGGATGCATGGTAGCACGCCTGAGAATATAGGGTTTCTCTTGATGCGAGACGTTTTTCTTCCCATAAAATTCGAGAATGTGGTCACCGAAATTCTCAGGCATGATGAGAAGTGCTAGAAAAGACTGTAGAATGATAATAACAGTAGTCTTTTGGAATGAAGAGGTTTTGCGGGCGTTAAAGACGAATAATGGAATTAAGAGGACATTGTTGTAGCGCATGGAGAAACGACCTTGTGGTACATATATGTTGTAACTGGAAATTAACCTGCATTTCTTCAAGCGCCTTGGTAATAGGCCATGTACCTGACTCAGATGTCAGATCATGCACTATCCACGTGGTCTTGCATGGCCCTGATTTGATATTCTCTTACATGACTTATTTGCTTTGTGCTCATGAAACACCCAGACACCAATAATCAAGTTTGGCCTTCTCACAAGTCCTTAATACATGAAGATGGCTCAAGGTTACCATAGTCAAAGGCAGAAATAAATTACTAACAATTTACTGATGAATTAAAATCCAATAGGCCAAAACTGTGAATATGCAGAAGATAGATATACAGGTAGGTGGTCGATAGTGAACACTCGGATTTATGAGGCCATGCTAAGAAACTATATATCGCCTATGTAAGACAAATAGACTTGGGTATGTAATATGGATAGTCGTATATTGATATTGATGTACCCATGATTCGAGAGCAAAATCAGATGCGAGGCTGCCTGAGTTGTCCATCGTGGCATTGACAGGTAATAAATATGGCTTTTTATATATTGCTTTATCCCAGGTGTACTGAAAGTGATTTTTATGAGAATGAGATTACACACTACACTACCATGCAAGATACGATGGCTTACCACAATTGTAAATACTCATGTCACCACGTGGAGCAATTTCAAAACGAAACAAATAGAACCATTATTTTTAGATTACATCATTGAAAGCCCATTTCTTTGCCCCCATTGGCGAAATCATACCAGCCCTGATTAACTCCGACCCTGTCATCCGCATGTCCATCGTGGCCAAATTGAGCTTGGACGAAATGTCTTTAATGTGCACTTCGCCGTTATAGGACACCATACTGCACTCCCTTGCAATTGAATATACATCATGGGCGTCATATGTAATAGATTGCAGGAACCAAGTGCTTTGAATTGTGGGCATGGTATAGCTGAGGGATATTCTGCAAAGGGCTACTTTGCGAAGGCGCTCTCTAAGCTTTTCAAGTGCCAGAAAGAGCTTGAGTAAACCTCCCAGATAGGAGGTACAAAAGCCAGAGTCCGAATGCTGCCAGTGACCGTGTGAGAGTATTCAATGCCTCACCCAGGCCGTATTCGCAACCAGAAGTGTTACCTCTTATGGAAGAGAATAATATTTTTATCCACTTCAACTGTATTTCTTTGCACCCTTTGTCAACGTAATATCTACGCACCTGAGTAAGGGGGGCTGGAATGAGTCAACAACGATTGTTGCTTACAGAATGCTCAACATTACCTGTTTGATCTGGGAAATTGTTTCATCTATACCGAAATAAGCTCCTGATAATCCCTCAATATTTGATATAACTGTTCATTCTCCAACGGCCAGGCCTCGTGACTCCATATTGAACACACGATATAAAAAATGAGAGGCGCCAGGCAGAGCGTGATCCGAGATCGATCATGTGGTTTCTACAGCTCAAAGGGAGACTAAATAAACTTGCCAGTCGACAGTCTAGTGAGCCATACATATCCTGGAAAATAATCCAACTGCGTTGAGACATTGCATGGCGTTGAAAATGTTCCTCAAAAAGACCCAGGAAAGATGGCTTGCGTTTGGGAAAAGAGCACCATAACGACATCCTTCCTGTCACAGCCAGTCATCTACGACCAATTCAACCGTCCGGTTTACTGGATGGAAACAACAGGAGAGGCACCGAGGGTTGCTAAAAAGAGATAGTGTGGCTTCGTACTTCAATTCAGCTTACTGCCAATGCGATTTATCACAATAATCCCCAAAATGACATATATAAAAATATATTTTTAATGTGCAAATCTAAAGTCTAACCGTTTATTCCCTTCATCCTTCGTCGTAGCCAAGTAAATAATCTTCTCATCCTTTGACATGGCGTTCCACTTCTTATCGCGGCTGGCATTACGCCAGACATAGTATACCTTGGTCAACAAGTAAATGAAGATATTCATAACCACCAAGCCAACAAGAACGCGGTTTCCTCTCTTATAACGAGGTGAATCATCTATTCTAAGTTAGATCAGGGTAAAGTGATAGGATAGAAATGAGGTCTCTACCTGCTCGATAAATATTCGAAGAAATGATACCCGACGCCTGCACACACATGTTATACATGGCGGCAGAAACGGTGCGCGAACGAACAGTGTTTGAGTTCCTTGAATTCCACGCGACCTGAATCGGATGTGCTGTTGCCATCAATTGTTTTAGTACCCAATTTCGTCAACTAAGGCTGTGCTAGATCAGAACTTACAGTAAGGAAGCGACAAAAACAATGTCATGATAACCCATGCAACCCATTTATTGATAGAATTAATATCAACCGCATACAAGTATACGACAAACGGCAAAGACCAGATTTGAGGAAACATGGCGGTCAGGGTCAGCTCGCCGAGTATTTCAGACACGCACGTCAATGCCAGCATGGTGAAGATTTGCGCAGCTTGACTAGGAATGGTGAGAAGGTTAGTGACAAACGTGCCAAAGCCCATGCCCTTCAATGTTAGTGTCAAGTATTGCGAGGGTGTCTGGTGAGGAATCTGGAACGTGAGGCCCAGGGCATATAGTGGCCACAGGTCGAAGTCACATAAACTCTTCCACAGGAGCTTAGGTGTTATTGGCTCGCGGTTGTGCATTGTTCCTTTGCTTGGGTCGTCGCGAATTACGCGGTTGATCATTATCGTTTCTTCGCTGGTAGGTGTTAGATTATCGCATAGTGAAAATAGGATAAGGTATAAGCAAAGACTCACCGTGGACTGAACCAACCTTTCTTGCCCCGGCCCCAGCTGGCAGTTTGGCAGGGTCCAGGGGGCATGAGGATAAATGCAGAAAGGCCAATCACCAACGTTATGAGACCCTTTGAGTTTCTGTTAGTTCCAATCGATAACGTTAGACCTCATAACTTACCTCAATGAGGAATAGCCACCGCCAACCTGACTGGCCATTGACACCACGTAGATGCAACAACCCAAAGGCTAGAAAGCTTGATAGGATGTCGGCCAGATGTAAAGCTGTCCAGAAAAAGCTAAGCCGAATGGAGAGTTCATGAGACTTGTAAAAGTACGATAGATACAAGATCACCTATCGTGGTAAGTTAGCAAGGTGGATGTGTGAAGGTGGATTGCGAAACCTACGTCGGGTATGAATCCCCCCTGTATAATCGCGAGAAGAGACCGACAAGCAAGATAGGATGACCTTCCCTTGAGGCCGTATTGGGCCATACTAACCACTGACCAAAGAGTCATTTGCATAGGAATCCACCTGTCTGGCCCCATCCACTTGCTGACGAGTTGCGAAGGCAATTCAGCGCAAAGGAAGGAGAGCTTAAAGACAGTGTTTCCCAAGTTGTAATCTGGATGGAGTCAGCAGTCGACCATAACGAAGACTGATGTTGTCTAACCATTGGTAGTGAGACCCAAGTCGTCGAGAAAATTATCGGTCAATGCTTGTTGAAGATTTGAGCGATCCAATTCTAAAGCCATGAACATAATACAGGTAAACACCATGATCCGAAGATCAATCTTGCGGACTAGTTTGTGTTCTTCTCCCCAGGTCCATCTTGCAGATGGGTCAAACCGATGTAAGTTCTCCCAGTCGTCCCTTGGCAGGTATTCCTTCGCAATATCCGGATTGTCGTAGACTGATGGCTGAGTTGCGATGGCGTTAGGGTCGTACTTCTTGCCTTTCTGAAACCAGAATCTGCGCCCGCTTCCTTGCTCTCCTAGAGCTGGAATATCTCGGTCGCTGGATTGGTCTGCCTCATTCGGTAGAGATGTGACCGTTTGGGTGGCTGCCTTCTTAGATGCGCTTGGGATGTAAACTGTAGGCATCTTCGGAAGGTCTGATAGACAAAATCTTGTTCCTGGAGACTATGTGTAAATGATCTATATTGGACAATGGCATACAGCTATATACTCGAGAGTTTATTGCATTCAGAACTGAGGCACCTCACTGAGGGTGATCTAGCCCATACTAGCTTCTTGCACGTTCTTGGCAAGCTCTTGCATCATCCGGAAGACTTTGATTCATACATGTGGCTGGGATAGGCGATACCAGACGTGACACTGAAGCACGGCGGTATACATCCACCCCGCAGATAAGATCCAAATTTGTAGTATTCGATTAATTTGATTGAACAGAGATAACGACTAAATTTGGGGGAGAGGGGGCGGCTAATGTCGAGTTAGATTGGCGGGCACGAGCGACCATGCAATTAGGGCAGCTTAAATGTTCACTTTGCCCTCGACCCTTGAACCCAATCTCACAATTCAACTAAAACATGGTGAAATACTTTGGATTACAGTTGTTAGGAGGCTTCCAGTCATGTGAGAGCTGCCAAGGGTTGCGTAACTGGGCCTGCAAATGATATGATCGGCTATCGGGCAACAGTATGCAATGGCGAGATATTGCATAATTCCAAGTCAGGGTTGCAACTTCACACTTTGTGCTTCAGATGGTCATTGAGTATGCATTGCGAGATACAAATTCTTGCAATGAGGGGTCCGGAAGTACGGCACAATTCAAATGCCAACTTTATAAACAGACAGTGCATATAAGTAAGGGCTGTCAGAACTCCATATACTGCTCAACATATCCAGTCAACCAAAGATAGACGAAGACCCCAGATACAGAGTACTTTCACAATGGCCCCCTCTATTGCCGACAGCGCTCCAACCCCAGTGGTTCCAATCGCGAAAGATACTGTCCCGGCAGTGGAGTCGCCCCATAGGAAGCCTTTGGAGTTGAGCGGCGCCCTAGAACCTTTCGATTCCTTCGACGTTACCACCGTCATTGGCCGGGAATTTCCAACAGTCAACTTGAAAGAGTGGCTACATGCCCCTAATTCCGATGAATTACTCAGGGATCTTGCCATCACCAGTAATCAAATGCGCTCGGTACCACATCAATTGAAAAAAAACCCACAACTAACGTTACTCTAGTTTCTCAGCGCGGTGTTGTCTTCTTTCGCAAACAAGATGACCTAGACGACGAGTTACAGAAAGAACTCATCCAGCGCCTGGGCCTTCTCGCCGGTAAACCCAGTACATCCGGTCTTCATGTGCACCCAATCCACAACGCAAGCCGTGAACATGCTGCCAAAGACGACGAGATTAGTGTTATCACCTCTAAGGATAACGAGAAACTGTATAGGGATCGTTATAGTAAGATAACACAGAGTGGCAGAAAGCAATGGCACAGTGATATCACCTTTGAGCCTATTCCTAGCGATTATACCGTTTTGCGCCTGACGCAGCTGCCCAAGACTGGTGGTGGTAAGTCAAGTCAAACTGAGTATCGCGAGTGGGGGATTTGGTACTGATCAAATGGGTCAGATACACTCTGGGCTTCTGGATATGAGGTCTATGATCGTATTTCGAAGCCATACCAAAAGTTCTTGGATAGTTTGACGGCAACATACTCCCAGCCCGAGTTCAACCAGGTTGCCAAGGAGAATAACTTTGATATCTTCACTGGTCCTCGGGGAGCGCCAGAGAATGTCGGGGAGGTGTTGAAAGCTATTCATCCTGTTATCCGTACTAACCCCGTAACGGGCTGGAAGAGCGTGTTTGCTGTGGGACATCATGTTGCCAAAATCAATGATCTTTCTGAGGAGGAAAGCAATCATTTACTGAGGTGGTTTGTGACTTTAATCGTCGAGAATCATGATTTGCAGGCTCGTCTGAGGTGGCAGGATCCGAATGATTTGGGTAAGTAGCACTATTTCCTTCATTTTATTGAAGCTGGGGCTGACGTAATACTTTTGTACAGCTATCTGGGATAACCGCAGCGTCTACCATGCGGCGACGTTCGACTACGATAACCTTGGTCCGAGAACCGGCCATCGCGTAGTTGGTCTAGGGGAGAAGCCCTATTTTGATCCGAAGAGTACAAGTCGACGGGAGGCATTGAAGCAAGAGGAAGCATAGGTAGTCAGCTCACGGAGCAGCTGTCGTTTCGAGACAAGTCCAGAAGGGTCCATGCTTAGGGTTGACTTTCGATATATAGAAAAGCAGAAAACATTATTTTGTCTATCTATACATCTAAATCTATCCAAAGGTGTTATATATGGGTATTATTTTGTAACTAAACAACGCATTAGAGAGAATAAAAACCTCATGGACTAGCACCCTGCTCTTTCTCTTTCTCTCCCTTCTCTTTTCGATACTTCAACCAATTCACGAGCATATAACAACTGGAGATCACCAGTCCCCCAGCCGCAAGGCCAACACCCATATAGAGCGCTCCACGATATCCCTTCAATGTGTTTGCGCCACCGTCGTTGACATGCGATTCCACCGTACCCGCAAAACCGAGCCCGATGGAAATGGAGTAATTAACGGTCGTGCTGACGAGAGAAGCGGCTAGACCTTGGTGTTTGCGGGGCATGGCGTTGCTCAGAAGAAGAGTACCCGAGGGGAAGGACATGTCCCTGTTTGCCATTAGATCATCTGTTTATGATTTGCGAAGAGATTGGAAAACTCACATTCCCCATGGGGTAATCAAACTGGCAAAGAACGCTTGACCCCAGTAGATCTGGTCAACAGGCAAGGTTGCAACGAGGCAAAGACCAACTGTGTATGCGCTCATAGAGCAGAACATAATGACACTCGGTGGAAGATAGCCAAGCAGAATACCAGTCGTGACAGACGCGATAGCACCCGAAATTGCAGCACCCGAGAACTTAGCCGTCGCAAGAAGCGGCGTATCTCCCTTAATGACCAGCATGAACTGGTAAAAGTAGTAGACAATAATACCCATGCTGGACCAGCCTGCCGCAATACAACTGAGTACCCAGGCAAGATCACCTGTGAATATCGAGCGAGGAAGCAGAGGGCACTTTGCAGAGCGTTCGACGAAGGCGAATGCAAACAAGAAAAGAAACCCAATAATGAGCAAGACGTATACATATGGGTTACTCCATCCAACCAACGGCGCCTGGTTCCATGCAAAGTTGATCAGGACCAGACCGATAACACCCGCCGTGGCGCCCAGGACGTCCAACCGGACCATCACAGGCAAATGGTCATCTTCAGATTTCGAATGTGGCAAAAAGGGAATAATGATATATCCCAGCCCAGCAAATGCCACGCATACGATCGCCAACACCCAGTATCCCCACGGCCACCAAACAAGCTGCGCGAAGATCGACGAAAATGCCGCACCCACGATATATCCTCCAGGAGCCGTTGCACCGAACAAACTAAACGCCATAGCTTTCCTCAACCCCGGCGGGTATGTCCTCCCAAAAATTGCCACCGCGTTTGGAAGCAGCATCGCCGGCCCAATACCCTGAAATGCGCGGCAGCAGTCGAAGAAGATCCGGTTCGAATACACACTGAACCCCGCGAGCAACGACCACAGTGCAAACCAAAGGAATCCAGCGACGAACATAAGCCGGTGACCCCACATATCGCCCATGCGCCCAGAAACCAAAATGAACGTGCCAACTGTCAAACTATATGCGGCTGGGAACCAGGAGAGCTCGCCGGGGTCTGTTGTGCCGAAACTGGCGCCGATGATGTGCGCCGGGACGATACCCATGCCGAGAGCTGCCTGGGTCATGAACTGTGCCATGCACACGATTGTAATGAAGATAATCTCATGCCATAGTGACTCGGGAGGCCCGATGTTTGATTGTGACGTTTCCGCGCGAGCCAGGGGCTGTGGCTCATTCTCATTGGCGTCTTGCTCGTGGTTAAGCTTCGATTCATCGTATGGGACCTCGGATTCAAGATGGTGCGTCACTGATGAAGAGGCCATCATCTGCGCTGGATGAGTGACAAGTAGGTTGTTTGTGCATGCTTCGGGGAGTTGGTTCTTGTAAGAAGGGAATCCAAGTAGTGGCCCGTTATCGGGCTTCGAGCCATCTAAGCTATCGTGGGTCCTGTGATATTTGCAGCAGAAACTTTTAACGACAGTTCTAGAAAGCCCCGCCGGCCCCCTGACTGTCGAGTCTGATTCGGCGATGGCAGTTGATGGCGGATTTACGGATATAAACTTATCAATCAGGATCGGGGATTTTGCCATTTCGGTGATATCATATTGGAGCCCGAATGAGATAATTCTAGAATCATTCCTTCGAACAATTTTGAAAGTAATAAAGTCCGACATAGAGCAAGATACCCCGGACTCGACATGAAAGGAAATATAATCCATATGCCGGTCGTGGAATGATACTGCAGCAGATAGACTCAATTTCAGACGCCGGCAAGCGTGCACGGATCTGAATGTCGCATATGGCAAGGTATCCGCGTAATCTCCGAAAGAGCACCTACAGATACCGAAGTCTTGCATGCTAGCCATTTTTCGTGTTTCTTTCCCCTTTAATTATGGAGTTAAGATAAGCTTAATACAGAGTAAACTATAGAACAGTGAAGTAAGCCCTATCAGCCCTCACCACGTGCAATGTCCTCCGTCAACCTTTAAATCCGCACTGGTCATAAAGTTGCTGCCATCACCTAACGGAAAGACCACCGGAACCCGATACTCACCCGGAGTGCTCAACCGGTTCAACATGTTCTCGTTTGACCACGCTGACTCCAAGCCCGGTATCCTTGGTGTTTTATCAGTAGGTGATTTCCGCATATTCCCAGACGACAGCGTGTTGACTCGGATCAACGGCATCTCCAAGCGGGATCCCTATTCGGCGACGAGAGAGTGGGCCAGTTGGTGAGAAGCTGCATTGGAAGTGTTCCAGCACGGGCTGTCAAACGTCTACGATAATTGAGTAGTGAGTATGGAACTCATGAAGCAGAAGAGGGACAAGAATGTATCTACTTTATAGACACTGTGCCCCTCGATGTTTGAGATAAACATCATACTACCGAAACATTATCCTTCCTTATCACTTGGGCTGCCGCCTGAGCAACGAGAAATGTCCAGGTGGTATTGGTATCCAGCACTTGCCGAAATTTGGCCACTTCAAACATAGCAGCCGACCCCAAACAAGCCATTCCAGCAGCAGAGACCAGTCTTCTTACGGAATGGCGGAGGGTTGGGATAAATTTGGAGAACATCTTATCCAGTGTCTTGTCATCCGTCACATCCAAGGGGTAATACGCGACTCTTCGGGCATAATTCTCTGTGGTAGCACGGTGTTAGCATTGTCGACCAGATCAAAACGCACAGTATGACAGTATCGACATACCTTAGTTTCCCGTTCTAAATTCAGTTTTAGCATCAAGACGAATCAACATCCCCGCCCCTTTCGAGGATCGCGTCGATGATGACTATGGTCCAATCTCCGGCACCAGTGACTAGAAAATACAACTTAGCTTTGTTAATCAACCTAGAGAAAAAAGATGGGCATACCGATGATCATGCACTTTTCCACAAAAAAGGTCAGTCACTGATCGTGAGGGACCTCTTTGTGGCTCTTTGGCCTCATGGTACTCATGGCCATGAATATAGCCCTCCATCTAATAGTCTGCACTTCTATGGTAACGGATTGTTATTAGCTGGTATATAACTTTTAGACCGCACATGGAGATTCAGACGCCAGCAAGGTGTTTTTAGAAGGTCCAATCATCCTGGTTGGAATTCAGATCCCCACCGTGGCAAAGATCATCATGGCAAACAAAAGCCAGCCGCACCTAAATCAGAAGGCATGCGTTTGCCATGATTTGAGTAATTTGTCACCATTCTTCTAATATTGTTTAGTCCCTTCAATCTTTCTCGATTGGAATCCCTCAAGCGCCAATATAACACCAGTAAAACTTGCCCCAATCCCTTCCCAAAGGGCCACATACAACCACGCTCCCCCCTGCATGCCAAGCACAGCTGCAGTAAGCATCCTTATCGGAATAGTCGCCGCAAAGAAAGTTCGATCATCCTGAACAAACGCTAGGGTGTAATATATACCCATTGCAATGGCGGCTGACGCATTTGCTCGTATTGATGGGAGCGATGCGCTTGGTAATGATAGCATGGATAACATGGATTCAGGAGAGAGGAGGATATATATCCCTGTGAGTAGGGAGACTGCGCCGAAGGCGAGAATTGTGTATGCTGTTCTAGAGGGCATGGTTGTGTCGAAAATGGCGGTTGTAGTTGGCGAATGCGGAAAGTGGTCGCAGGTCAGCTGGGGTCGATGACCAGGTTACAGGTCGGGTGGCATCGTTCTAGAGGTGCGGTGCCGCGCTAGTAAGTCACATGACTCATTTAGCGGCTTCCGGCACTTACAATACCATGTTTTAATTACCCGGCATCTGAGTTTTACAGATTCCTGACCATTAGATATCATTATCTATTTGCTGTAGTTTTGCTCGCCGTTCCATAAGTTCCAACTCTTTTTCTTCATTTAGAAGTTGTTTTGCCTGGTTTTGGAGCTGTTTCTCTCGTATTTCTTCCTCTTTATCCTTCAATTGAAGCTCAAACTCACGGAGCTCTAAAGCTTGCCGTTGTTGCTCAATATTCAATATATTCTGCGAGGAGATCCGACGAAGGCTTTGTGAAGTGGATGAGGCAGAACTAGTTTGTAACTGGTTAGTAACTGGTTATCGATTGATTAGAAAATGCGTACCCTGAAACCCGTGATTGGGATCGAAATCTTTGAGGTTGTGGTTCTTGTTGAGAGTCCATTGATAAATGAGCTGAGGATGAGCGACGACGCTTTTGAGATTCTAGGCAATTTCCAAGTCATTAGCAAAGATTGCCATCATAAATGGTGGATATATATATATATTACCTTCCCGTGCCATGTGTCGTAAATAATTAACTTCCATATTTGCTGTTCGATATGAATGGTGAATCCCAAAGCGAGTCCGATTTATATATTGAAGAACATCATGTTTATCAAGTTTTGCAGAACTAGAAATCATTAGCAACCACTCAAGATGTAGTCTTCAACTGGTTGTAAACTAGTTCTCAACTACTTACTTTTGGATTGCTGCTACTAATGTCAATCGCTTTCCTGCTGCATTAGCCTTGTGATGAGATTGTTCAGCTGAATTAGTATGATTCCGAATTGAATCATAGATAGAGGCAGGAATATTAGAGCAGCTTTTATTAAGGCCAGCTTTAATAATTGGTTGCCTCTTATGCTCTGCCCAAGCCTGTACCTTTGGCTCTTCATGAACTAAGGCAGTTAGTGACTGGTTGTTAACTGGTTTGAAACCAGTTGGGGAATACTTACTGATCAATAAATCACACAACTGATCATAATCATCTTCAGACTTGCAGTCAATCAGAGCTGCCATTCGATTCCATATTCCTGACCCTCTATTATTATTCCCCACTGCTTCAGTGATAGTTCGAAAAAAATGAACACGGCAAAAAATAATTATTCCCTTTAATTGCCAGAGTATCGGTCGGCGGAGAGGATCAATTTCTTGAAGGAAGCGCCCAAGGCCTACGCAGTTAGTGAGTACTTTGCAAATGCTTTGTAACTAGTTACCTAGTTACTTACCAGTATACTGTTTAGTATCCATGTCCACAACAATACCATATATTCCAGTGGAATGTATAGAACTAAACTTAATAGCATCTCCAGTGACCTTTTGAATAAGAGAGAATACTCTCTTAAACAGGAGATAATAGCCCTCAGTTGTTTCCTGATTTGTGAAAACTCGGAAAAGGGTGATGACTATTACAACTAGTAAGTAACTAGTTAGCTAGTAATTGATTATTGGATACCTACTTTTTCCATGTTCATGAAGATAAGTTGCAAATACAACTTCATTTATCTCTTTTTCTCGAATTCGTTTGTATGACATGTCAACTTCAAAAGAAGATAATTGACTCAAGAGCTGGATTTGCTCTTTAAAAGCACACAGAATCATTATACCCTCACTATCAAAATACTTCTCTTGAATGTATTCCTATAATGAGTTAGTAACTAGTTTACAACTGGTTCGCAAGCACTTACCCTGATAAATGGATTTGTATTATATATATACAAGACCCCATTGTAGCCCTGACCAGCTGGGTATGACAGCAGTCGTTGTTTCTGTATGATAGCAGAGATGCGATCTAGATTTGAAAAAGATGTGTGTATTTCCGCAGGTGTAGAGGCATTATACTGAGAACAAAAAGCCTCTAGTTCTGGACTTCGCAGAAATTGAGCTATTAACTGGTTAGTAACCAGTTTAATGGTGGTTAAGAATCATTTAACATATACCTCGAGTTAGGCTTGGGTTTCTCATCTGCCTAATTATGTTCTGAACCCCTCTTAGAATAAGCTCTGGTGGCTTATGTGGAGGAGGAGGAGGATGTTTATGGATTCCCTGAGATGTGAAGACAACATAAGGACAATCTTGAGGATCAACTGGTACCAGTGCAGTAAAAGTGACATCACATTTGAGATGTTCTAATCTGCCAGGTCCTTGAATATGGTCAAAATCTAAGTATTTCATAAGTACTACGCAAGCAGTTTCCAAACAGTTAAAAGACCACATACCACAATACTTTCGACGAGATGTTAGTGGCTCAATAACAGCGCACTCTTCCTGAGATGGCAGGATCGAATCATTGAACAACTGCTCTAGGAAGTCAATATCAATTGAAGTATGGCCTTTAACCGAGCTGTAATGATGTTTTTGAAGAAAGTCTGCTGTTCCATGTACACATCCAATATATGGATGGTATT